GCTGATTCTCTGAAGTGAAAATATTGAGACAAATAACCTGTCAATTTTTTTTTTTTTCATTTTCAAAGGTCTGGCTGTTGTGCAAGTAGCCATTGTCTCTTACTTGTTAGCTCTATGCTGGGATGAAACATTTTTCTCCTTGTCACATTATTTGCTTTGATTCTTTTCTTATCTGAGAAAAGAAAAAGATATAGGGCTTTTGACTTTCTTTTGGATTCCAACTCGTTTAAGTATACATCCATAAGCCCTGGATCTCACTGTAAGTTTTGAGCCCAAAGAAAAACTTTGTTCCTTGGATTGATGGGCTCAAAAAGTTTTCATCTCTTATTTTTTATGGCTATGTTTTGTATTTGAGGTGTTTATTTTGTATATTTGTGAATTGGATATATTTAGATCTGCAATTGTGAATTAATCTTAATTTTTGCCATGTTAATCAGGATGCACGACAAAGGTTTCAAGAAGGACAAATCTAGAAATCCATTGTTTGCTTCTGATGACGTGCTAAATGTGGGAGCAAAACTCAAAAAAGGAGACAAGCTAAAGAAGCGCAATATCCACCATAGTGATGGTGCCAAGTATATGTCATATTTCAAGGTTAGGTTTCTTTAATTTTTTGTCAAGGTTAAATGGTGCATTAAATTCTTACTAATTGTATTGAACCATTGGGAGGGACTGCTTGTAACCTAGTCAGTGAGTACGTAAATTAAGAAATTAAGCATTTCCAATTGTTTAATTGGTCGTCTGTTTTTGATAAGGAACAGGATAGTTTTGGAAAATCCAAATAAAATAGGTTACCACAAAAGTTTGAATTATACCCACTTTTGAACAGAGCAAAAATTAGATTATTAACCTGCGTAGCTAAACAAAGAATCATAAAGAACTAACAGAAAACGGCATACTTGTTCCCATCTCTAGTGTCATATGCTTTTAAGTTTAGTTTCTACGGTCCTTACTTATTGGGACATCTCTAGAAACTTTTAAACCTGGTTTTCATGATTGTCTAGGCGTACCTGTATTAGCCTTATGTTTTCTTGCTTAGCTGTGCCATCAAGCTCAGTGATTTACCTTGTAAGGAAATACAGTTATGTGGATCTTTATTCAAAGATATGAATAGTGTTTGGAAATTCCAAAATATTGAGTGATGAAATCAATTCAATTCTGATGGTTTTTTGAAGGCAATCACTGATTATTTGACTTTGTGATTTTTCAGATTAGCAAGAAGCAGCATGAACTTGTTAAGAGTATGAAGCAGTCTGGTAAAAGCATTCAATCCAAGTCTCTGAACCGGGTTTTAGGAAACCTTGATGGTTTGCATGTACAACCTTATGAAGTGTTTGAAGAAGAAGAGAAGAAGAAGTTGCACAAGCATTGGTTAGTTTGTTTTGAAGTTCACATTACATTTTTATACCTTAGTGTAACTCTTGATTTCTGACCATCAAGTTTATTACTGTTTATATAGGTTGCAACTGGCAAATGAAGATCTCCCTATATTTTATGCCAACTGGAAAGAAAGAAAGTTACAGATGTGGGAAATCACACAATCCTTGGGGCAAGAGATGAAAGACAGATTAAAATTTCTGGTTGAGGTTGGTTATTCTTTCATTCTGGTTGTTGTTGTTGCAGCTTTCTCTCTCTCTGTGTTCCCGTACATATTTTGATTCACTGATTTGCATGATATAATAAGATTGTTTCGTTCTGGTAATTGCTTTGAACATGGGTGTCCGTGTTGTGTGGAGTGAAAATCTTTCACAGTGGTTTAATGTTTGCCTTCTCATTTTGCACTTTGGTGGTCAGAGTGAGGAAGAAGAGAACGCTGTTGCTCAGGATGAGGAAGAAGAGAACGCTTTTGTTCAGGATGAGGAAGAAGAGAACGCATTTGTTCAGGATGAGGAAGAAGAGAATATTGTTGTTCAGGATGAGGAAGAAGAGAATGTTGTTGTTCAGGATGAGGAAGAAGAGAACTCTGTTGTTCAGGATGAGGAAGAAGAGATCCCTTTTGTTCAGGATGCGGAAGAAGAGAACCCTGTTGTTCAGGATGCGGAAGAAGAGAACCCTGTTGTTCAGGATGAAATGGAGGAATACCGAGATGCATGTCATGATCAGAAGGAGGATGTAGCAGCAAAGCATGAGTCAAACACAGAAGACAATGAAGACTCTGGTCCTGGCTCCCCCCAGGAGCAGTATCCACAGCGAGTCTCTTCCCCTAGTAGGAACCCTGAGTTCAACCACATAGATATGGATCTTGAAAACAATCACGTTACCTCTAAATCAGACAAATCTTCTTCGGATGTATCTGGCCCCTTGGAGAAAATGAACACTGCTGATGATAATGTCAATGACGAAGATCCTCTTCCTTCTGGTGGAAATGTCTGGCATGCCATGAGAAGGCCACGTTCTTATTATGATTCTACTGCTACCCATGAGTTTCCAATCGGTGGGTTGCCACTTATGAATCCACGGGTTAATGAAGACCAACAATCCCATCTAATTGATCTGGAATCAGACTTGAAAGGAGACATGAGGAAAGATTTGCTACACAGACAATCAGATGATGGTTCCTTAAATTCTTATCGGACCCATGACCGAAATGAGCTCCTGCAGTCTCTTTTCAAGGCCCAGGGGATGTTATCATACCATCAAGAGCAGAAACAGGCAGGGCTGGATTTCCAGCCACCAAACAACTTGTTGATGGCTGCTGATGGCCGTTTTCCTGGGCACTTCCAGGAGCAGCTGCAGACATCGCTGCAACTTGAGCAGGGGCCGAAGAGACTGAATGATATTTTCATGCAACAAAACATATCGGAGCACATTTACCCTGACAGAGGTAGATACTTAATACCAAGGCAGGAAAACTTGCAACCAGGAAACATGCAGAATTGGACTATTAACCCTGCCCGCATGTCAGAGCCTATGCAATCTCATATAAACAGTGGAGAATTGTTGAATCAGAACTGGTTTTCTGGGGAGCATCAAGTTCGTGGTGGCTGGACAGGGTCAGATGGATCTAGTTTCCAGAGCCAGAGCATTGGGAACGGAAACAACGCTGATCAGAGTTTATATAGTGTTCTAACGAATTGTGGCCAGCTATGTTCAGTTAATCCCTATGAATCAATAGGATCAACTGAGCAATTCATTTCTTCAAGGAATTATGGATTGATGGCTGGAGGTGCTCCTGGGATTAGTAATGCTTTACCACACACAGCGCATCCGCTTGACTACTTGGGTGGGCGTGATGCACCTACCTCTGTGATGCCTGATGATATGGGATGGATGAACTTGCCACATCAGAATCCTACTTTGCATGATCAGATGGGGAAACCCTACTTGAGGTCTTGGAATCAGTAAGAAAATATTTTACAATGTTCTCGATAAGGTTGAAATTGTGATCTGGGTGGGAAAACTGCTAAGAACAAATACTGCATCCAAGATGCATGTGACAGGAGATTGTAACCTGTGACTTGCTTCGAAGAAGAGAATTTTGAGGTTACTGCAGATTTGCAGAAGCCAATGAGTATACAGACCCTGAGATAGGTTTTTGTACATACCTATACAAGAGCCAACTCAACACCATGTATATAGCCTAGATGTTAGAAGGGTAGTTGGGAGGTAAGTTGCAGGAGGGGAAAAATCCAGGTTTCTCCAGTTCTCTAATTGGTAGGCCAAAATATATATAATTATATTATATTAAATTTTTATTTTCATGAGGATTTTTTGTTTTCTCTTGTTGACTGAGGATTGAGGAATACCTTTTCAATAATTTTGGAGACTAGAAATTGTTAAGGTCTCTCTTTATCTCCTATTTTAAAAATTTATGTTTCTTCTTTCAAGTTTAATTCTCTAGCTTTCTCTGTTTCTCTCATGAAAACAGCACAAGTGAAATAATCTATATTTCACCTGGCAAACGGAGTATGAATATTAGTTGAACAATTTCTTTTGAGAGCGTTTGCAGATCAGCTTCCGGAACACTATGCTTGGGAATGGGCTAAAAAATGAATGAATGTTGTGCGAGTTCCAGCAGCTGTCTTTTTCTCTTGCAAGAGAGTTATGAATAGAGTTGAAGTTGTGTAAGTATGTAGCCAAGCTGTTGTCCAGATATGTAATGTGTAAATATCTGATTGAATGTGTGGCCAAATGCATTGAAGCAGAGTGTGGAAGTATTTTGGCAGTGAGTGGCCCCTTGGGCCTGTAACTTTCATTTAATAAAGCAGAGAAATAGCAACTTTAAATTATTATGTAGACAAAAACATGGCAATCAATTACCATTCTCTTGCTCAGCCAAAGTGTCAAAAGCCCCAAAACTTGATCCCTCGAAAGGAAAACGCAATCAATTTTGGTCTTGTATGATTAAAAGAGAAATGTCATGTAGATGCTCTTTTTCTTTATGGGTTCTTCTTCTTCTTCATTTTATTTAAATGTCTTGTGCAGCTTAAAAAATCAAATCTTCCCTCCGTAGAGAAAAAAAGTTTGATATAAGATTGAATTCAAAACTGAAAATTACAACATGAGAAACATTATGCTCTTAATAATGTTTCCAATGGAAGGAAATAAAGGATCGAGTGGCTCGATGAGAACTCTCGAGTATATTATTTAAGAAGTTTTGAGTTTGAATCCCTTCTTAGATGTTAGTAGGGGTAGTTATTAGAGATTTTATCCAGTCGGTAATTTGAAGGTCTTAAAAAATTAGTCGAGGTATGTATAAACTAGTTATCTGTCATTAAAAAAAAAAAAAATGCAGTATATATATAAAGGTTAATAAAATTATAGTTGAATTTGGCATGTGAATCATTGCAGTGGTGTATGCATTTGCGTTGAAGTAACTTAATGATAACCTTACAGTTACACTAGAGTTGTTTTACTTTCACCGCCGCTGACGTCCCTCTACAGAAGAGAGGAGGAGTTTTTACAGTTACAGTTACAGTTAATTAATTGGACCTGAAATGTTAACGATGTGTGTGTCGTGTCGGTTTCAGTTTAATTAATGCAACGTCAGAGTGGGTTCCTTGCTTGCAAAGCATCAAATCATTCCAAAACAAAAAACCCTTTATTTGATCTTCAACATATTCTTCTTTTGTCTTCTTAGTTTACAACGTAATTCAACTATTATATTATCTTCTCACACAGACGGAAACAGAAACAGAAACAGAAACCAAGCAAGATGGACAAGAAAAAGAAGAAAGATGTTATTCGATTGGAACGTGAATCTGTCATTCCCATTCTCAAACCTAAGCTTATCATGACTTTGGCCAATCTCATTGGTACGTCAATTCTACAATTTCATGTTATTATCTTCATTTCTCTTTTCTAATTCTTCTAATTTCTTCTGTTTTGCAATTTTATCCATTTTCATTTTAATTTATCTTTGGTAATTACTGGATATGACAAGACCCACTAAGCAATAACTTCAAAACTTAAGAAATGAAACAATTTATCTTTGATTAATAACAGCTAATGAGAGAAAAGAAAAACGAGGGTTTCGCTTTTTTTTTTCTTTGGGTAATCACCATTGTCTTCTTCTTTTTTACTCATTTTTATGGATGCATGTGAATAAGGATGCAATTATATATTTACTAGTTTTGCATTTTGCTATTGCTGTTAACCTAGAATCGGGTGTATAAATGTTATCGCAGAGCATAGTTCTGACCGGTCTGAGTTTCTAAAGCTTTGCAAGAGAGTTGAGTACACAATTAGAGCGTGGTATCTTCTCCAATTTGAGGATTTGATGGTAGCCTTGGTTTTTCAATTATTCTTAAGTATGTTATGGTAATGTTTCTTGCCTTTGGTGGTAGTTTAATTACGTACTAATGGTGTTTGCAGCAACTATACTCCCTCTTTGACCCTGTATCTGGCGCCCAGAAATTGGAGCAGCAGAACTTGTCACCTGCCGAAATTGATACACTTGAACAGAATTTCCTGACGTACTTATTTCAGGTACTATGACTACTATATTTTACTTTTTGTCTAATAGATAATAGATTTTATTTGATATTCAGGTTTATGGTAGAATGAGGTTGAATTTGGTCTTGTATTTTGTTATAAATGAAGGAGAATCAATATTTTATTTGTAGGATAGCATTTAAAACGTGAGTATTTAAGTTAGGGTAATGGGTGAATAATAGGGATTGTTAATGATTGGAAGGGTGGATTTAGGTTAAAATTTGATTAAGGGCTGGCTGCTAAAACTTGTGAAGATGAAGAAATTTCATGTACTAGACACTACTAATATGTAATGATTTAAGTATGTGTATGTATACTTATCAAATTTCAATATGAAACTCTGTAATGTATGTTTAAAATTCTGTTCTTTTTTTGCAGGTGATGGAAAAGAGTAATTTCAAAATAACAACTGATGATGAAATTGATGTTGCACTTTCAGGGCAGTATCTTCTAAATCTTCCCATCAGTGTTGATGAGTCTAAGGTTTGTACTTACAAATAAGTACAAATTGATCTATTTTGGTAGCTATGCAATTATATAAACATGCACTATTAACAAGTCTCTATAGGTGCATGTATCTTGGGTGCTTTCATGTGCTTTCAAATTTGATCTCAATGTTCACTTTCTGTTGAATGTAGGTTGACAAGAAGCTTTTGAAGAGGTATTTTGAAGAGCATCCCCATGAAAACCTTCCAGATTTTTCTAATAAGGTATTCCTCTAAATTTATCACTGAAGATTTTTGATAACGTGCTTACCTTGGAATCACTCCCTTTATGGTTTTAAATTGGTTATGTTGGGTTTAGTTGCATGTGTCATTAAGTTGTACTGGAAATCTCCTGCTTGTGTAATATGTTGTCTGCGCTAATTAGAGTGAGTTAATTTGCTTCTGTTCTCGATCTGTCTCATTATGCTGTGTATGCAGATATTTCAATATGTGTAGTTTATTGGATTTTATGTTTCATGATCGTCACTTTAATACCTAGTGCCATCTTTCTACGAGAAACAAAATATCTGATACTTTATGATAGCTTCAATTTTAAGTGCAAAGATTAAAAATAGGAACAGTGTTGATATTTTTTTCTGCAAGAAATCACATCTCACTTGCAAACTGAAAGAAGTTCAATAGCCACGAGATTTCATTTTAGGGATTTATTTCAATTTCAGTTAAGTCTTCAAAGTTTGAACCAGCTTGACCATTGTTTTGAACTTTGGTCTAAGGGTGGTCCTTTTGAAGAAAGCTAATCTGTAACTTTTTTTCTTTATAGTACGTTATCTTTCGACGTGGAATTGGAATTGATCAGACAACTGATTTCTTTTTCATGGAGAAAGTGGACATGCTCATTGCACGCCTTTGGTCATTTATTTTGAGACGAACAAAGTAAGTATATCTTTCGGACTATAATTTTTTTATCATCAATGGATATTGTTGGTACTGGAATTTTGAGTAGTCACATGTTGAATTTATGCAGTCAAGAGCTATAATGCTTCTAGATTTGTCCGTTCCTGATAGTTGAAATAAGCTGAACAATGGTCTTGAGTAAATTGCCTGACCATTTGTTGGTGAATTACAGTTCATGTTTCTGGAATTGTTAACTTATCTGTTAAAAGAGTTTGTTTAGCATTGGAATTGCCCAAAATATTATTCTTTTTCTCTTAGTAATAAAGTTAACCTACTTTATTATTTTCTTTTTAATCCTTTTCAGGGTTCTTTGTTTGCAGGCTAGAAAAACTTTTTAGCAGGAGGTTAGGCAGTCGTAAGAAGGACCCAAAGAAGGATGATGAAATTAATTCTGAAGCCATTCAAGATGATCTATACGTTGAACGACACCGTCTTGAAAATATGGAACTAAGGTACATTTTATCTCAATATAGCAATTACTATGGGACAGTATTATTGCTGCAACAGATTTATATACTATATTTTTATGGGTATATTGCATGCCATTCCAAGTGGTTTGAAAATGTCATGCTTCACATGAACTTCTTGTATGAATCTTAAAATCACAAGTGTCTAAAATCTTTTTTAACTTTTAAATTTTGGTTATGACAAGATATTATCAACTTTTTTAAGCTATACAAATTTTATTAACTTGATTATTTTTACTCAAGAAGTTCAATTAACTAACAAAATTACAGCCTATAACTTTTGATGGACTTGTATGTGTATGTTTGGTTGGTTTTTTGATTGGAGGGTAGGCCATTATTAGGTAACTTTAACAATCTTGTCTTCTCTTCGTTGCCTTGCAACTGTGCCAAAAGATTTATTATACCATGGTTATTAATAGACATGGAGATTCAAGCAATGTGCTTATGTATTAATTGAGTTGCCTGTCCTGACTTTCTGATTATTATCACCAGTCAATGATGTTCTTATTCTGTGTTCCCCAGTTTCCGCAATTTGCTGACCAAGGTTACAATCCAAGAGCCTACCTTTGATAGGATAATTGTTGTTTACAGGTAATTTTTGTTTTTGTGTTTCTGGTTTAATTTTATTCTTTTATTTTTCAGTTTCATCATGTTATTGCATTGACATGCAACTGATTAGTGGTAACTTTTACATCATAATTTTGCATACCATGGTGACTGTTGATGGAAAAAAATGATTTTTATGATATGAAATGCATACAATGAAAATCCTACTGTGGTCCTCTCATGAACAATGGAATTCACATTTATTTTGTTCTTTTTTTTATTGGGAAAAGTATCTAGGCTTTTTTTCTAATTGATGCCCTGTGAAACTACTTTTGAAACAACTATGAGAACTGTGTCATACATCTGAGAATGATGATCATACTGCAGGAGAGCAAGTACAAAATTAAAACCAGAACGAGGAATATATGTGAAACATTTTAAAAACATTCCGATGGCCGATATGGAGATAGTTCTTGTAAGTTATTTGGGCTGCCTCTCTATGTCTTTCTTTACTATCTCATTGATTTATGACTCTTGTGTAGCATTTTCTGTTCTCAAAGTCTGTAAACAACACGACTGACATAGACTTTTTCTAACTTAACAGCCTGAAAAGAAAAATCCAGGATTAACTCCACTAGACTGGGTCAAGTTCCTGATCTCTGCTGTGGTTGGGCTGGTCAGTTTAGCAATTATTTTGTCAGACTGTCTCTACTTTTGTCCACTCTTCTTTCTGTGTCACGGTGTTGTCCAAATATCTTACTGTGTTTTTCTGAACAGGTTGCTGTGATTAGTTCCCTCCAAATGACTGAACGTGATCTTTGGGTCATTATCGCGGTCCTTTCCACAGTGATTGGTTATTGTGCTAAGACATACTTCACGTGAGTTACTCCACAACAGTAGTCCATCCCACAGCCGACATCCAAGATCAATGCTTTTGTCTATGGGTTTATTGATGTATTTTTGTTTAATTGAACAATATGCATAATTTATCTGACCTTTTTTTCTCTAATAAGTAGTTGCTGTGATCAACTTTTGGAAGAAAGAAAATATGCGCTCTATGTTATTCTATAATGTTAGTATCATAAGGTGATGGAAAATTCTGATATAAAACTCTTGGTTGTACTTACTGATCATGCATTTTCCCTGTCCTCTTTTAATGTAGACAAATATCACTTGTATGTGATATGAAACAGGAACTTCTGTTTGTCGAATGGTTTTGTTTGTTCTTGATTAAAGATCAAATCATTTGATTGCATATTGTTTCTTCTACTGGCTGCAGGTTTCAGCAAAACTTGGCTACATATCAGAATTTAATCACACAGTCCATGTACGACAAACAACTAGATAGTGGGAAGGGCACTCTTCTTCACTTGTGTGATGATGTGATCCAGCAAGAAGTAAGTTTAAGGCTGTATGAACTTTGTAAAATTATCAAACACCTTCCTGTTAGTCTTTATTTGATAGCCACTTAATGATTTTTTATTGAGAAACTGTGTGTTATATATTTTTAGCCGTACATGAGTTTTATTGGCTTTATGAAGCTTTTCGGGATGTTTTTGGCAGAAGTAGTTTCTGAAATCTGAAAAAGGTCATCCACATCTCTATGCCAATTTGTTGTTAAACAATGTTTTTCATCATCTGCTTTTTAAGATATTTCACTATTTTGATTTATTAGTCTGTTACACTGCTATGAGTTTTATCAAGTTATTATCTGGTTTTTCTTAATTGAAGCCTTTTGATGTATTAGGACTTTCACCTATGATGAGTGGGCATGAGTGATTTTGGATATTGAATTACCTAATGGGTAAAACAAATGCAATATTCTGATAGGAGCACAGGATAATTTGACAACAGTTGGTCTGCAGATTTCATTTACAGTTAGATTTTTTAATTTTATTAAAGAAAAAGAAATTTTCTTTTGAACGAGCTTTACTTCATGTTTAGCAACTATTTAGTGAAAGTTTTGATAGATGGGCCTTGATTGAACCACATTGTATTTAATTACATTCTGCCAAATGCTTGATCTAAATTACTATTGTGCAGGTGAAAGAGGTGATTGTTTCATTTTTTATATTGATGGAACAGGGCAAAGCCACAATGCAGGTGAGGATCTATTTTCAGTTCCCTCTTCCTCCCTCAAATCTTTTTTTTGGGTCTTGCTGGATGTTTATCATTTAAAGTAAATTTTTTGTTTTGTACTCTTTCTGATTATCTATTGATTTTACTAAACAGGATCTGGACAAGTGGTGTGAGGATCTAATCAAGGAAGAGTTTGGTGAAAGCTGTAATTTTGATGTGGATGATGCAGTTCAAAAGTTAGAGAAATTAGGCATTGTTTCTCGGGTGAGACTCTCCACCATTCTCTTTGAAATAACAGGCTAACTCGTGTGATCTTGTTAGCACTCAGAGTAGGACTAATTGAACCATTGGCCGTTTTTGTATTTGCTCGTTACCCCGAAAATATCATCTTAGAATTTTCCAGTTGAGTGATTGCATTCATCTCTAGGAGAGAGTTTGTAACATATTCCAAAGGGCTTTTCTATGCCATCATGTAGTGGCTAGCAGATGGAGAAATTTAATAATAGCACTACTGTAGGATAAACCTATCGGGTGGTTGATTATTTGATGTCTAAGCATAAATCTTCTTAATCCTAAAGTAAAATTTATTACAGTTAAAGTTAGTTCATAGTTTTGTAATACTTCTAACTGGCAAATAATCTCTGAATCTAGGATACTATTGGTCGGTATTTCTGTGTTGGGCTGAAACGTGCTAACGAGATCATTGGCACCACCACTGAGGAGCTCGTCCTTAAGGCAAAAATGGGTGGTATTACAACTTGAAGATGTCCTTGGAAATGGGATGGTGAGAGCTTTTTCTCCCCTATGATTTCGGCATCTGAAGTCTCAAGAGTTGAATACATTTACAGGTGATGACTTTAACAACACCTTGGACCGATGTGTTGGATGGGAGATTTCACTCTATATGGTGGCAAATTTCTACTTCTTTGTCAATATTGTAATATTGAGTTAATTTTATTTTTTAATTAATGGCATGTAATTGCAAGATGCCTCCATGAAGTAAATTTTGTGAAGAATATGCCGTGGGGAGGCAATCTTGGTTATATTTGATGTTTTAATATGTTTATTTTGGACAACAATGATATGTTTTTAGGCTTAATTTGGGTTGAAACTTGAAAGTTTAGAGATAGTAATTCTGTAGCCTCTCTCAGAGAAACAAATTCATAATTTACTTACAAGATTCATGAGCTAAAATATGAATTAAACTCATCCCTAAAGATACATGAAAGAAATATTGTGATGCTATTTTTCCCACATTCAAATAATAAAACTACAATTATCTCTTTCCACATTCAAGACTCCAACCCCCCACTAAACATGATCTTGTGTACACATTATCATTATCACAGAGACTATGAATACCAGAGACGGAGTCAGCCATGCTGATATCAGAACACTTCAAAAAGAATTTTGATTGCAAATTAATCCCACCCGGTAAACATATGCTATGGTTATATTATAAATTTTATTTAAAAGAGTAAATAATTTATTTTATAAATCCATATGATTTATGATACAGATTCATTTAGGAAGTGATGAAATTATCGGGATGGATTTTCGCGTGCGGATTTACTTGTTGATTCGAAAATGTGATTGAAAAATATGCTGTGGGGTTTTGCAAAAGCGGCCAGTAGTGAGAAATGATTTGGTGTTACGTTTACTTACGTGCACAGATGCTTGAAAGTGGTTACTTATGGTTCTCTCCGAAAAAACTGACAAGCTACAGTCAAACCACTACTAAAACAATGCAACATGGATCCAATTTTACCTTGCATTCTTAAGTTTTGAAACACACAGAGATCACTAACAGACACAAGCATGGACAAGAAAAAGAAGAATGAAGTGATTAGATTGGAACGTGAATCTGTCATCCCCATCCTCAAAGCACTGGTTGTTGCTGTTCTCTCCCTTCTTATCGGCACATACAATATCATTTGTTCATCGTTTTAGTTATGAATAATATTTTTATCTTATGAGAATGATAATTCATAAAACTGAAAAGATATTTATGTTTACTTGGATTTACTTTTACATTTTGTTGTTCCTCTTTGTAGAAAATCCTGATGATAGGGAGGAGTTTGCAAAGCTTTGCAAGAGAGTTGAGTACACAATTCGCGCTTGGTATACTGTACATTTTGAGGATTTGATGGTACTATTGCTTTTTCTCCTATCTCTAGTCATGAAATTCTTTCCTCTCTGTTTGCTTTTTGAAGCATATTATTTATTTTTGTAATTTTGCAGCTAGTGTATGCCTTCTTTGACCTCTAACCGGACCTGATAGCCTGAAGCAGCATCGTATAAGTTCTACAGATGCTGATGAAGTAGAAATGGAATTCTTGAAACACTTATTTCGGGTAATAAATGTCAACTATTTCACTTATCATGTTAAACGAAAATTTAGACAACACCAAATATTATCATGTTTAAAAAAGATAATCACTCTGGAAGTATCTTCAATTTGCAAGTTGTTTGTTGATATATGGAATTTGATGGTCTCCATTGTTGCTCATATGGTAATTTTGAGATAGTATCTAGTGAGAAAATTTATGCTAGGTGATTATATCTTCATTAAGAAAAAAGGCTTAGTGATAACTCACCCTCTACAATATTCTCTGCTTTTGTACGATAATAGGAGGATTCATTAATGATCATAAAGGTAAGTTTCTTATCCAAATATAATAATTATACTGAAACATGAGAATGGTACATTTCCTCAGACAAAAGATATTCCTAACTATATGTAAGTATGTGGTGTCTAATTATCAATATCTCATTCACTGCGTTAGGGATTTCAGAATATCTCATTCACTGCGTTAGGGATTTCAGAATTTCTCATCATTTTTATGCAGGTGGTGGACAAGAGCAACTTCAAACTAGCAACTACCAAAGAGATTGATCTTGCACTTTCAGGGCAGTACCTTCTAAATCTTCCCATCACTGTCAATGAATCTAAGGTTTGTAACCACAAATATGTAGGAAATGATTTTGTTTTATACTAATGCCAGTAAATGAACATGCCCCATTAACAAGTCTCTGGATGTGCATGTTGATGCATTCTTTTGCTTTTCAAGTTTGTTGATTCAAATTTCCCTTTTTGCTGAATGTAGCTTGACAAAAAGCTTTTGAAGAGGTATTTCGAAGAGAATCACCACAACCATCTTCCAGATTTTGCTGATAAGGTATACCTCTAAATGGCACTAAAGTTTGCAAGCCGAACCCTTGAAATTCCTTGTAGGTTTTACTGGTTAAGTAGTATTTACCATCGTAGGGGAGGCCCTTTTAGTGGCCATTGTCTGAATTTTATAAAATGTCTATGAGTTACTTCACCCACTTAAAAGTATTTTATAAACTATTACCTTGGTTTTAAACTTTGCTATTCTGGAATGGAGAAAGCTAATCTGTAGTATGTTTTAGTTCATAGTACATTATCTTCCGACGTGGTATTGGAAGTGATCATACAACTGATTTCTTTTTCATGGAGAAGGTGGACCTACTAATTTCACGCTTTTGGACATACCTTTTGAAACGAGCCGGGTACATATTTTTTTAAAAAAGGAAACTGTAGCTTTTTAGCCTTTTTTTCTTCATGAGGGAACTGTTGGAATGGAGATAGAACGTTTAGTAAATTTTCAACATCAATTTTAGCATTGCTCAGTAATCGGTAGAATCAGCAGTCTTGGGCAAATATATAGCTTGGCCATGGGGCAACCCTTAATTAATCTTCTTTCTCATATTTACCAACTTAAAATTGCCTTTTGCTTTTCAATCTTTGTAATCCTTTGTAGATTTATGGTACTCGCAGGCTAGAAAAGTATTTTTGCCAACCGAAAAAGGACTCAAAGAAGGATGACGAAATTGGTCTGAAGATGATCCGGATGATTGACGTTGAACGGATTTGTCTTGAAAATATGGAGCTGAGGTATTATGTTTCATCTACACCCTATACCATGTGCCATAAAAGGTTTTAAAATTGCTCCTCTGCTTCTTGTTGACTCTTAAATCAACCCGAAATCTAATTTTTTTTTTTTTTTTTTGGGACTTATTCTTATCAAGTCCCACAACTCCTAGATTATTTTGAATTTTTTTTCATGATTTAGTTAATTGGGCGATTCAATGTGGCAAAAAAAACAAAAATGTCGACCTTTGTATAGATAATTGTCGTATACAGGTATTTTCTTTTTCTTGGTTAATGTTTTTCTATTTATCAAATTTCAGATTGCTTTGAACAACTAAGAAAAAATTAGAAGACACCTCAGAAGAATGATCACTCTGCAGGCCAGCAAGTAAAGGAGATGAACCAGACCGAACAATATATGTAAAACATATTAAAAATATTCCAATGGCTGATCTGGAAATAGTTCTGTGTGAGCTATTTCAGCTGCTCTTTGCCATTGATTTGTAACTATTTTACACTCTCTTTTCCTAAAACCTATAAACAATCCACAAACTATGAATAATCTTTGAACAGCCTGAAAAGAAAAATCCAGGATTAACTCCAACGGACTGGGTCAAGTTCCTCGGATCTGCTGTGGTTGGTCTGGTAAGGTTACCTATCAATTTTTCAGTATTTGTTCTCATTTTTGTCCATCTCTCTCCATCTTGTTGAGATAACCTGCCGGTTGCTGTAGTCAGTTCTATCCAATTTACTGAAAATGATCTTTGGGTTATTATTGCAGTCTTTTCAACAGTGATCGGTTACTGCGCTAAAACATACTTCACGTCAGTTCTCCTCTTGCTCTTGTGTGCCGCTTGCCCATACTTTTTTCTTTTCCTTCATTGTTTTGGGGTTATCGATAATTGTTTCCGTTTGATCAATATTTTTGTTGCATTTGCCCTGGCCCTGATTTCATGTGTGCACGTCTCATTTTTCTACTGCATAGGCTCGCTGTTTATTTAAGTAATGATTAGGTGCTTCCCTTTGTCTAATGATTTAGTTCATGATCGATTTGGAATCAAGTTATTCTCACCGTCACTGCCACCAGGTTTCAGGAAAATTTGGCTGTATATCAGAATTTAATCACACAGGCTATGTATGACAAACAACTTGACAGTGGAAGGGGTACTCTGCTTCACTTGTGTGACGATGTGATTTAACAAGAAGTAAGTTTCATGCCTGATGAATTCTTTCATATTAGACATGTCCTTTGTTAAATTCATTGCCGGCTAACCTGTCAAACCCTTATTTTCTCATATTTAACTTGCTAATGGTACTATTTAATATAGCATTCATGTCATAGTGCTATGAACTAATTCGAATTATTACTGCTTATGGCAACTCATTATTTTGCAGGTCAAAGAGGTGATTATTTCGTTCTTTATATTGATGGAACAGGAAAAAGCCACAACGCGGGTATGCTGTATGCATCAGTTTGTGGTTTACCTACCGGTTTTCTCTTTCTCAATCTTTGCTGGATATGAATTATTTAATTTAGATTCCTTATGTCATCTCTGGTGTGAGACTTATGATAATGTGACATAGGAATTGGACCAGCGGTGTGAGGAAGTAATTTTGAAGGGGATGATGCAGTACAAAAGCTAGAGAAGTAGGGCATTGTTTCGCGGTGAGACTCCCAAACTTGCTTGGTAAGCATATGTTAGCTGTGGTGTTGGTGATGATTGGAGATTGATGTTTGAATCCAGGATTCTGAAGGGCGGTATTCTTGTGCCGGGGTGAAACGTGGTAATGAGATCATTGGCACCACGACTGAGGAGCTTGTCCTCAAGGCAAAAAAGAGTGTTGCAACTTGATTCATTCTGGGGAGGTGAGGTTCTTCATATTCAAAATCAGTAGTTAATTAAATGAATTTTTACATCTGATGGTAAGAGTTCGCTGCAGGTAAATTGTACTCTTGTAGTACAGATTGTTTTGGATGGGAGAGTTTACTCAATTATATCTATAGCGGGATTTTATACTTTGGATTGTCAATATATTTTTAACTTTTACATCAGCTTTGAAGAGGAACTTTTATTTTATTTTCTGAATCTGGTATATTTTTCTTTTTCTTTTGCTAAATAATGGATGTTAGGATCTCTCTTGAAGGTAGCAGAACCTGCTTTAGATGCAATGTCCAGTTGATCCTTTAGATTTCAAATGATTCATAGATAGCCGGTGCCTATCATGTGGAATCTAATCTCATTTGAGTTGAAAATCGAAATTTAATCCAATATTTACTTGGATGATTAAATTTATTAAGAAAGTTTAAATTTTGATTATAAATAATTTATTTACATTATTCCAATGTTGATCAGATAAATCTCGGTAAAGAAATACAAATACCAATTAAATGAATCTCAGTTTGACTTTAATTGGTCAGTTTTAAAATTGCTTATCTATTTATTTGATTATATCCTTTATTTAACAATGGCAATAAAATTATTATCCTGAAGAATTAATGGATGATTTATTCAACAAAATTCAATCATTAATTTTCTTTTTATTTAATTTTTACATAACCGCCAGTAAATGAAACAAGTGTAAGCTTCAAAATGGAGGGACAAGCTGTTAAGAATTGGCGCTCCAAAACATTCAATAATTCGGTCGTGAGAATTTCCCGCCGCAGAGCCGGGCGTTACACACCACACACAACTTATGGCTTTTTTTGAGTTTTTTCTCTTCTTCTTCTTCTTCATTTTCATCATCAAATCTTCAAAGAAGCCACGACTGATGAAAAATTATGGGTAAGAAGAAGGATATAATAAAACTAGAACGTGAATCGGTTATTCCTGTTCTCAAGAACAAGCTCATCAGGACCTTGGCCGACCTCATTGGTACTATTTCTTAATTATTGTAATATTTTCTTCTATATTTTTGCCTGATTTTAAATGAATTACTTTTGTTAATGGGAATTCAGGTGAACTTTTTGTCTTGAATAAGCTTTAATAATAGAATTATCATGTTAAAATGATCGGATTTGACTGAACATTATTTCACAAGTTCTGTAGATAAACGATCAGATCGAATTGAGTTTCAAAAGCTGTGCCAGAGAGGTGAATACACCATTCGAGCTTGGTATCTTCTGCAATTCGAGGATCTGATGGTATTTGATTGAGATATTTTTGTTACTCTTTCTTTCTCATGCGTTCTTTAACTTGCCTTTAATTGACATATTTTGTTTGTAGCAATTGTTTTCCTTGTTTGAGCCAGTTCATGGGGCTTCCAAATTGGAGCAGCAGAACCTAACTCCTGAAAAAATTGATGCCTTAGAACAAAATTTCCTCACCTACTTGATCAAGGTATCATATGTGTATTCAAATTTGGATTGTATTGACGTGTGCCTCAATGACAAGAAAATATGTTTGCCTGAAACCTAATTTTAAGGCTCCCAATGACAAGAATCTTGAAGAAATCTGTTTCAAAAAGGTCTTTCTTCTTGTTTCACAGTTTGGTCACCAGTGTCTACTACTTCACGTTGTCCAATTAAAACGTAAGAAATTGTGAAATATAAATAATTTTGACAACATTCAATAAACATGTTATGTGTATAACTTACACATTAGTTGATATAGAAAATAATATCAAATGCTATATGCTTATAAGGCATGTGGTTTTTTATTGCTGTTTCATTGATCATGTTGTTTGCTTTCTTCTTGTTCTTTTTTTCTGTTTCTTCAAATCCATTTTAATTTCACCTTTTATAAGGTGATGGATAAAAGCAATTTTAAGATAACAACTGATGATGAGATTGGTGTTGCACTTTCCGCACAATATCGCCTAAATCTTCCCATTAAAGTTGATGAAACTAAGGTTTGTACTTAATTGCTTAATTTGGACAAACAGTCATAACTTATTATTTGAAAGTTTTCTTCTCATGACTCACTTGTTTGCTGATTCCAATGTTCACTTTTGGGTGAATGTAGCTTGACAAAACCCTTTTGAGAAGGTATTTTCAGAAGCACCCTTGTGAAAACCTTCCCAACTTTGCCGATAAGGTATTGCTTTAATCCAGCTTTGATTGTTGATAATCATTTTATTCAGTGGACAGGGAGATATGTGATGGATACTATTCGTGTTCCCCAGAGAAATTGTCCATCTTAATTAGTTTGGGGTTTATTTTTGTGGGTTTGTTGCGCGTACAAGTTTGTAGGTTAAAGATCAATGAAGGTCTATTTTTCACTAGACCAATCTGATTAACTGATAATTATCATATGGATATCTCAATTATCAGAAGTTCTTAAATATTCAGGAGAAATGATAGAGATAGAAGGATCTATGTTGGTTTGGATTCTCTGGTCATTTGACATCATGTATTCGGAAGTATTAAATTTTTTGCATCTTTTTCTCTCGATTGTGAACTAATTTTGATTTATGACATTGAGTATAGTACATAATATTTCGGCGTGGGTTTGGAATTGATCAAAGAAGTGGTTACTTCATCATTGCAAAAATAAACACAATCATTGCGCGTATATGGAGATGTTTCCTGACAGTGATTGGGTGAGTAATTTGATTATGAAAGAGCTTTCATATGACTATCAAACATAGTTTGAAATTATAAAAATGAATTGTTCATACATTTAGCAGGTTTGAAATATTGCTGTTTAATTATCGACACGATAAATTCTCTCTTTTTTATCTCCGACTAAAAATCCCCAGTTGTAAACATTTGATATTGGTTTCCTTATTTGTTGCTCTTCTGGGCTCTTTTTCCTTGTAGACTAAAAGGCTTTTCTATGGGAAGTCAAGCAGAGTATCTAGTAAAGTTATGGCAGAGCCTGTTGAAATTTGCATCGAGTCTGAAAACGTGCAGGAAGGCTTATATGTTGAACGGATCCGTATTGAGAAGCTGAAACTCAGGTTTTGAAATGCAATTTGATGATATTTCTCTTTTAGTTACTACTGGTCTCTGATGATGAATGTGTTTACCTTAGGCCCTCAATCACATTTAATTTTGTTTTCGTGTGGCCAGTTTTTTTAATCTGTTTGGCAAGATCACAATCCAAGAACCAACATTTCAACGAATAATTGTTGTTTACAGGTATGGGGTGATTTTCTTTTGGGCACACTTTCCTTGGTTCCTTTTTGTTTTTTTTTTTTTTTTGGGTTAATGTTAGTGTTTTGGACTAAGCCAGTATGAAACCTCTATTATACTGGAAAGAATAACTTTTTACACTGGAAAGCACTTTGGAGAAGGATTACTTTATCTTCGAATTCCTTCTTTATTTACATGGAAATCACCAAAATTGCTCCCTTAGTTTACTTCAAATTTAATGTTTAATCGTACATCAATTTATCTAAAAAAAGTGGTAATCTGCAGGAGAGCTAGTGGCAAAAAAGAAACACAGAGGAATATATATGTGAAGCACTTTGAAAACATTCCAATGGCTGATATGGAAATAGTACTTGTGAGTTTTTGTTATTGCTCTGTGTTTTAAAGACTATGCATCTGCTCCTCTCTCTTCTGTTTCGAAATCTCTTCAACTGCCCGTTATTTAATAGCTCATATGACAAATCTAACATGGTGACATTGTTTTCTTTTCTTTTGTTTTTTTGGTCTCTTTATATAAACAGCTAGAGAAGAAAAACCCAGGTTTAACACCAATGGACTGGGTCAAGTTTCTTGTTTCAGCTTTGATAGGGCTGGTCAGTTATTGCATATTCTACTATGAAGTTTTATGAATATGTTATTTCTTTTGATCCATCTTGCTCATGTGCACTTCTTTACAGGTTACTCTGATTAGTTCTCTAAGTATCCCGAAAGCTGATATAAGGGTGGGATCCTGACAGCAGTGGTCGGTTACTGTGTTAAAACATATTTTTCGTTAAGTGTCCTCTTCATCTATGTTGTGGCTTCGGGTATATCAATTTGTATATATTTTTTCTATATTTTCACAAAGAAAAGGAGTAAAATGGCCGAACATCCAGCTCATAATTAATATTCGTGATCTATTCGAGTCTATTCTTGCTTTAAGATTTGCCTTTTACGAGAAACTAATACTTGTGAAACTGCGTATATATAGTTTTAATGATAACTTGGTAGCATATCAGAGCTTAATTACACAGTCCGTGTATGAGAAACAACTGGACAGTGGAAGGGGAACCCTTTTACACTTGTGCGATGAGGTGATTCAACAGGAAGTAAGTCATATTTTTAATTTTATAGTCCATTGAAACAGATGCTGAAATTTTGTATACGATCATGGTTCTTGGTCTTCAATGAGCTGTTTCTGGAATCAGATATTTCAACTCGGAACATAAATAATTTTAATATGCAGGTAAAAGAGGTGATCGTTGCATTCTTTATGCTGATGATGAAGGGAAAAGCTACTAGAAAGGTGCAGGCAACTTATAATGCTACTTTTGCTTTTTCTGATTCCTTGATGGAATGCTGAATCATGAATTTGGAATTATGTGAAGCAGGAACTTGACCTGCGTTGTGAGGAACTAATCAAGGAGAAATTTAGTGAAAGCTGTAACTTCGATGTGGATGATGCAGTTGAAAAGTTAGAGAAGCTAGGGATTGTTTCCCAGGTGAGAATTTACTTGGAAGCAACATCCAGAATGAAGAAATATGATTTCCTCTGCCAAATTAGGTTGACTTTAGTGTGTCCTAAATACAGGATAATATTGGAAATTATACATGCGTAGATGTGAAGATGGCTAATGAGATAATTGGCACTACCACAGAGGAGGTAGTTCTCAAGGCTAAACAGGGTGATATTGAAACCACTACACCCTAAACTTCTATTCTCCCTTGATTGCCTTAGAAATTGTAATGTCTGTAACAGATGAATCTGTTAGTTTGTTCATGTACAGAGGTATATTTGGTACGACTTACTAGTATATTAAATTGGATTATATTATATAGTATTATACAATAAAGTTGGTTGTGCTTAATGTAGGCATTATATAAACGAATATAATAGCATTTAAGGATAAAAGTAATGTATGCATTCACATCTTCAAAATAAAATAATTAATCGTATATGCAAAAGATGCTGTACATTGTCAACGTAAATTTACGGAGTTGGGAAAAGAAGTTAGTATGGATGAAGCTACCTATAGGAAGTAGAACATCATTGATAGATCATGTCATTTTGTTTCCCTTACCAGCTAGCCATCAATTTGCTGATCTCCGCTGAACATCATATATTTGCATATCCTTTCATCTTTCCAGTCAATTCTGCTGTTCTATTGCAGCCAATACAAACCTAACGTGGTGATGAACATGTCACCAGATCACTGAATTTGATGCCAACCAAAGAACAAAATTTCCACTCAAATGTCATCTGTAAACAAACCAAAAAGGAAGGTGAGGTCGTCATGGTATTTTGTGTTATCCATTATTACTATTCCAAAACACAATGATGCCAATATAAACAAATTACCATGAGGAAACTGTTCTAATTAAAAAGCAGTCAGGTCCATGGACATTGTAAATAACCTTAGATAAGATGAGTGATGTCCCTGAATTTTGATGCCAAGCAGCAGCAGTTCCACTTGGGTCGGAGCCATCTCTAAAAAAACCGAAACAGGAAGGTAAGACCATATTGTTTTACCAGGAATCCCCTTTAAACGACAACAAAAATACCGCGTCAACAAATTACACACAACTGCAGAAAAATAAGGCTTTAAGCACTTGTTTGGTAAAGAGAGAGAATAGAGCAGAATCTTGAAAAGAATTTGATGTCATTAGTCAATACATGCGTCTTAAAAAGGTCATTCGTGCACCAATACAATTTGAAGATAAAAGAAGCAATGTGGGTCTTTCAATCTTTATCCTCTTTTTGAAAAAAAATAGTGCATATTGTGACAACCTCTTTTGCTTTTGTGAAAGCAAATTTGGTTATGCAATCCCGTATAAGTTACTATTCCAGCAAAGCTGGTCATCCAAGTAAAATGACATCATTGGGAAGGCACAAACATCAAAAGAGAAAAATACAGATGACTCACTGTAGAATATGGATTATGCTGTAGAGTTCTCATCATTTCAACTGCTTCAATTTCTCGAGAACCTGCTTCACTGATGGCCTAACAGAAAGTGTCTCTACTGTACAGCCGGTAGCAAGCCTTAGCATTCCCAACAAATTCTCTTTAGGCCCTGCTTCCCATAATGCCGGAGAGAAAAGCTCAGAAGACCGTCCCTCCTTCATCAGCATCTTGGCCCATGAGACAATATTGAACCCATTTCCATACTCAAAAAATGATGGATCAAGGGATTTTTTCCCTGACATTAGTTCTAAGAGCACCACACCAAAGCTATAAACATCTGCTTTATCAGAAACCCTGCATGTGGTTGCATATTCTGGTGCCACATACCCAAATGTGCCAGCCACATCAGTTGTTGCATGAGTTTCAGAAACTTCTAAAAGCCTAGCCAAACCAAAGTCTGACAGGTAAGCATTAAGCTCCTCATCAAGTAGGATATTGCTAGGCTTAATATCCCGATGAACTATCCGGGGAACACATGAATAGTGGAGGTAAGCAAGAGCCTGTGCTATGTCAATAGCTATGTTGAGAATCACTGACCACTGTACATTTTTGCCCGATTGCTTGTGTATGAAGGTATCAAGGTTTCCACCAGAAAGATAGTTGTAAATTAAGAACATTTCAGCTTCTCCCACATAATACCCTATAAGAGTTACAAGGTTCTTATGTCGAATACGTCCTAGTGTTCTTATCTCAGCATCAAATTGTTGGATACCTTGGAATCTTCCCAAATAGAGCTTCTTTACAGCCACCAGGTAACCAGGGACCAATTCTGCTTTATAAGTTGACCCGAAGCCTCCTGTACCAATTAGGTTGCCAATACTGAAGTTCCCAGTAGCTCTAACCACATTATCATAGGTCAGTTCAGTTGGAGTTTCTGCAAAGGTGACAACCACTTTCCCCCTCAGACTAGCGAGTCTCCTAAATCTTCTCCTCCTGAAAATAACAAAGACTATCACGGAGGCTATGCACAGAACAGCAGAAGCCGAAGTTACCACTGCAATGATGAATGATTTTAATCTTTTCCGACTCTGCAATCTATCATGACTAAGCTGAACAGGAATTTTTTCCGGTCCAGTAGAGTTGGTATCTGGACATGGACCGAGGTACTTATTTTCATTAAAAGAATTGCAATCTATTTGGTGGTGAAGATGGGGTATACGGCCGGACAGGTTATTGAAAGAAATATCCAGTGTAGCAAGACTAAGGAGGGTCGAGAAAGATGAAGGTATCTCACCAGAAAGCTGATTGTGGTCAAGTAACAAAGTTTCAAGAGCTGTAGCGTTTGACAAACTTGCAGGGATGGATCCTGTGAGAACATTATGAGAAAGATCTAAAACTGTAAGAGAACTCAACTTACCAAATTCAGATGGAATTTCTCCTGTTATATTGTTCCCTCCAAGAAAAATCCATTTCAGAAATTTCAACTTTCCCAATTGATAAGGCAGAGATCCAGAAACCCTGTTTCCACTTAAATCAAGACGCTGAAGCTTCATCAACTTATCAACACCAGAAGCAATTGGCCCACCAATCTGATTGTTAGCCGCTTCAAACTCCATTAAGGTTAGACAGTTAAGAAACAAACCCTTATCAATCATACCCGACAACTGGTTTGCACTCAAGTTGACTGAAAGGCTCAGCAGATCACTGCAGTTTGAGACTAGCTCTCCAGGAAGAGACTCATTAAACATGTTATTGTTCAGTAACAATCTGTAAACAGGTTTACTCTTACTCGCCATGAATTCATCTCCTAGTGCAAATACAGGCAAAGTACCGGAGAACCTATTGCTACTGAAATCATGGATAATCACAAAGATCTTGTTCGACGTTGATACCCAAAAAGGAATATTAGCATAAGCAATCTGTACATCTTCCAAATCTAAAAAACTGAAATCATCCCCAAAAGAAATCAAGCTAGAACTACCGCAATTTGCATCCTCGTGTCTTGTGAGAACGCCTGTTATGTTATTCTGACTAACATTGAAGTACATCATACATGGAACTCGCAGCTGCATCGGCAAATACCCAACCAAATTATTCAAACTCAAATCCAAATAAGTTAGATTCTTACAATTCCCTAAACTTTTGGGCAACACACCGTTGAAACCATTCTGCCCCAAATTCAGCACTCTAAGCGAGCAAGAGTCATTCCAGTTGTCAGGCAATCTCCCTCCAAGATTCCCTCTCGGCGCCCACAAGATCTGTAAACTCGAACTCATCAACAACTCATAAGGCACACCACCATCAAAAGCGTTAAACTCTCCTTTCAAACTACCATCATTGTCATTTACTTCATTCAAGTTCGTCAACGCAACAACTGACAACTTTCTGCAATTCGCTAACTCTACCGGAATCCTATCGGTAAGACTATTCCTAGAAACATCAAGAACACGGAGCTCCGAAATCCGTCCAATCTCGGCCGGAATCGGACCTTCTAGAATGTTACCGTCAAGCATCAGTGTCCTCAAGTTTCTACATTTTCCAATTTCCTTGGGAATATTCTCAGTCAAGAAATTATTAGAAAGCTTCAAATGCTCTAAAAACTCGCATTTACTTACAGAATCAATCACCACTCCACCAGCTAATTGATTATTCGACAAATCAATCACACTCAAATTTCCACCACCAATCACTCTTCTCGGCACTCCACCGCTGAGCAAATTAAACGACAAATTGAGCACGCGAAGAGCCTCCAACTTGCTTATCTCGTACGGTATCTCGCCGGAGAAGTTATTTCCCTGCAACTCCACAACTTCCAAAAACCGAAGCTCTCCGATACTCGCCGGGATCTGGCCGGAAAACACATTGTGGGGAATGGACAAGGTACGGAGCTCGGCCAGCTCGGAGATGGAAGCTGGAAGAGTTCCGGCAATGACATTGGAAGACGACGTCACGGCTCCGACGAGAGCCAAACCGGTTACTCTGCCGGTGAAACGATCGCACGTGACACCGAACCACGTGCAGTGGTCGGTCGTTGAGTTCCAGGTGGCGAGAAGATTCGAGGGATCGCGAGACACGGAATTCTTGAAGCTGAGAAGAGATGCCAAGTCAGAAGAAAAATAGTAGGCGTCAGTTGGAGAGAAGGGTAACGTGAAACAGAAGAGGAGGAGGCAAATAAGTGTTTTCATATTGGCGGGCGGCGAGATTTGGAAAGCATAAAAGTCGGGTTGTTAAAGGAGTGTAAGTGTAACGTTCATTTGGGGTGGGGTAAAGGGAGTGTTTGGCGAGCAGCGAAAAGAGAGGGGTTAAAAGAAGATCCGGCAAACGTACAAGACAAAGAGGAGCCGGCGTAAGAGAAGGGAATTGTTCGTACATTCATTACTCTTACTCACATGCAATGCAACCAACTCGCTGTTTATTTATTTGTTTGTTGGTTTGGACGGACGTTTGAAATTTACTTTAAATCCGTGTTGATGATCAGAATGAGAAGCTAAACAATAAACAAAGCAATATGAAAGAAGATAAAAGAGGGAAAAGGACCATTCATCCAATAATGTTTAATATTACATCTTTCTTGCATGCCACTTGGATATTGTAATTTGTACTAATAGATTATCGCAATCGAAATGAAGCACAACAACGTTGGGGAATGGGGACATAAGAGACTGTGAGCCAACAATCAAGCTGAATGTCTGTCAGGTATCATTTTTTCTGTATTAGAAAATTGTAGAAAAAATTAAAAAGATTCACCTAAAAATTTAATTTAATTTGAAAATTATTAAGGACGTTCACATGTCCCAACAAGAGAAAAGCTTGGGAATCGAAAGGGACTAATATTGTATACATAATTAATTTGGCATCATTGTCAATTACAAATTTGACTACTTCACACACTTAGACTCAGACTCTCCCTTTTATCATTGTGATCTGACCAAAGATTACCATTACATATTGTTTTTTCAAAAATAAAAATTGGGATCATCATACTCTAACCACACAATAATTTTATTATCCAGACAACTAACTATTGAATAGAGATTTATTCAAAAGAAAGATGATCAAAGTATTTAATGATAAAACCAAAAAAAATAAGAGAGGAAAGTGGGAGACACAGGCTCTGAGGTTGACCAAATTTACCATAACGTGAAAAACAGAATGATCAAAGTCAAAACACGTTTCTAATGAGCAATGCTCCCAGTCCCAAGCAGGCATTTCATCATAAAGGAAGTAGGCGTTGAGCCAAGAAAGATCACTCTGTTTTGGTCAGACTTTATTGCATATGAACTTTTTGACTTAACGCTCACAACCACCACTCCCCAAATTACTGTAAAAAAGAAAAGAAAAAAAAAAAAAAAACAGACTCTCTCCACTGAATCAAACGCTGCACGACTTGCAAAATATGCCCCCAATAATTATCATCTCAAGTTTTATAATGAACTTTGACTTCTCTTATTCAACGCGCATTCCATTAGTTTTTAGTTGAGATCAACCACATCATCCATCTCTGTTTTAACCATGATATTATATGGTTAATCCACAGACTATCCAATAAAAACTGTTATTTCAATAGAGGCTTCGGGAAATTAAGTAATCAACTTGGTGTACAAAAAGTCCCAAATGAAAAGACCAGAGAGTTGAAACCTACATCAAGTCCTTGAAATTATGTCCTGTTAGGTGTTTAAAAACAGACTTTTAAGGTATTAACAATAGCATGAGTTAAGACTTCTTACAGCGTGAGATGGAGGGAAGATTGGAATGGTGGGGGAGCAGTGAGATATGTCATGAGACGCACTACAAAGAGAATGAAATATGATGTGCAGGTCTCCATCTATACCATCTTCAGTGGCTCCAATCAAAGGGCAACTTGTCTTCTTTTCTGAGAGGTGAGAGCCACCTTTCCAGTGAAATTTGTCTAAAACAAAAATAATTGATCTCAACCTTGTGCTACTCTTGCCTACAGGACTACTATGTATTATTCAAAAGCTTGTCATGGACAGTTAAAAGTGAACCTATCATGTATAGAGAACATTGAATTTTCTAAATATTTGACAATATCACAAACATGTCAAAAATGCATCACTGAGAAAAGCTTGTATTTTTCACCAAGTACAATTTCTTTTTTCCCTTCACAGTCCAATGCTATAACTAAGATATGACAAGAAGTAAAACAAAAGCATGCCCACATTGGGGTTTTCACCTCTGGTCATATTCTCTACCTGTCCTAATTTTGCTTTATCATAATGCATTGTTGTAGTGCACTGTAGCATGAACTTAATCCCCTTAGCTGTGATTAACCTGATATTAGAGACAATGTTATATACTTCATAATAGTAACACTTCTTTCCAATTAACAAAAGGGTCAAGAAACTGATTTGCAAAATATTGGGCAGTTTAATGGCGCCTTCATAGCCTTGTCATCAAACTAAGTACAGATTGGCTTTTATGAATGCAATGAAGGATCAACAGAAAAACAGAGTCTCAAAACAATCCAATTAAAGATATGAACATATTAATCAATTTTGGAAATGTCTAAATTTGCGATTCTCAGACAACAACGAAAAATGCCAAAATCTCACCCAGTAAGATACCACAATTATAATGACATATAGTTTTACAAAAGTTAAACACTCACTGAACACTTAGCTTCACCAAGACAAAATCTTGATCCTCTTCAAGCTTGCCAATGACGATCATTAGCTTTCTGTCTGCACAGCGTTTTTGCCCACACGTGACCTCTTTCGTTTCCTGCTCCTACTTCTCACAGTATCATTCCCCTCTTCACTTCCCTACAATTACTTCCACATATTAACAATTAATGACGTATATCAATTATCTATTTTATAATCCCCTTTCAAACTGACAACAAACTTAGCTATTTTGAAAGTACAACACCCCAAACCCAAAGCACTACTTGATCTAAGAGTGCTGAAATAGCTCACTCAAGTAATTAGATAACTCCCAAGTCCCCAGTACAGATTAATTAAAATTTCAAACTGTGATTGAAATATTATGCCTCAAACTGTTGCCCACAATTTAGAGGCTGATTATAAATNCAAAATATGCCCCCAATAATTATCATCTCAAGTTTTATAATGAACTTTGACTTCTCTTATTCAACGCGCATTGCATTAGTTTTTAGTTGAGATCAATCACATCATCTCTCTCTCTCTCTCTCTCTCTTAACCATGATCTGATATGGTTAATCCGCATTAGTTTTTAGTTGAGATCAATCACATCATCTCTCTTTCTCTCTCTCTCTCTCTCTGTTTTAACCATGATCTGATATGGTTAATCCACAGCAATAACACAGGCACACCGAAAAAGTTACACCGAAATTTTATATCAATTTACGTATAATATGCATCTAAATTCTTTTATAATTTTTTTCTAGTGAACGACCGTCCATCAAATTTGAACAGTTATTCACTCATATAGACGAACGTCTATATATAAGAGACAGACGTCCCCGTTTAAAAGACGTCCGTCCATAAATAAAATACAATAAAAAAATTTATAAAACATAATGGACGGTCGTTCATAGGTTGTGGACGACCGTCCCTTAATTTTGGACGGGCATCTGCAAATACAGGACGCTCGTCCATTAAGTTTGGACGAGCGTCCATAAGGAATGGACGCCTGTACAAACTTAATTTGTTTTAAAAAAATAAAATAAAAAATTTAGATGTCCGTCCATAAATTGTGGACGGGCGTCCCTTAAGTTTGGACGGATGCCCACAAATAATAGACGCCCATCTCTAACCCAAATATAAAAAAAAAAAAAAATTAGGGACGGCCGTCCATTCATCCATACTTTTAATAAAAATAAAAAAAATTCTAAACAAAAACCCATTCTTCTTCTTCCTCATCTTCATTCCTCCTCTCTTTTTCTTTGTCCCAAGTTGCCATGCTGGTGCAAACGAGAAATCCAAGTGCCCAGACAACTGATTGACGGTCTGTGAAAATTACAAATATAAATCAGTAAATGCTTTAATTTCTATTTGTAGGATCTAGATATACATGCACCAGTAGACACCAAGTCATTTTTTTTAATCAGCTTCCAGAAAAATAAATGAAAAAAGGAAGGGAAAAAGATATATGGACAACAGTATAGATAATTACATTTCCAGTGTTAGAATCCACCAACATACCCTCTGGGTTGTCTCCAATAATTATTAGATGTTTACCATCAGGACTCAGCGAAGTATGCTGCAAAAGCACAAAATAAAAAAAAAGATAAAAAATTCAATTGAAAGCTTCAGCTTGCAAGTGCTTCATATATTGCCCAGAAAATGAAGCACAAAACCCTCCATGTCAACAAAGGCACCACATACTATACAGATAGATGGACTGTTGAATATAACTAACTTACGTTCACTCGCAAAGGAAAACGGAAATGCTTAGAGAGTTGATATTTTTCCATATCAAAATCTCTGACACTACAGTCATTATTTGAGGCAGTGAAATGGACTGCACCACTGGTAATGAAGACGAAGAAAAAGAGAGGAGATGGGGAATGAAGACGAAGATGTTTTGTAATAGAAGAATGAGTTTTTGTTTAAATTTTTTTATTTTATTATAAGTATGGACGGAATGGACGCCCATCCAAACGTCAGGGACGGCCGTCCAAATTTTATGGATGGCTCTCTCCAAAGTTTTTTTTTCATATTTGGGTCAAGGACGGGCGTCCAAACTTAAGGGACGCCCGTCCACAATTTATGGACGGGCGTCCAAATTTTTTATTTTATTTTTTAAAACAAATTAAGTTTGAACAGGTGTCCATAAAGAATGGATGCCCGTCCAAACTTAATGGACGGGTGTCCCGTATTTGTGGACGCCCGTCCACAACCTATGAACAACCGTCCATAATGTTTTACAAATTTTTTTATTATATTTTATTTATGGACATGCGTCCTTTAAATGGGGACGCCCGTCCCTTGTATATAGACGCTCGTCCATATAATATGGAAGGGCGTCCATGTGAGTGAACGGGCGTTCACTAGAAAAAAATTGTAAAAAAATTTAGACGCGCGTTACACGTAGGCCGGTACAGAATTTCGATGTAACTTTTTCAGTGTCCGTAGTGTTATTGTAATCCACAGACTATCCAATAAAAACTGTTATTTCAACAAAGGCTTCACAAAATTAAAGCTCCGTTTGGTTCATTTGTTTGCATTTTTTAGAAATTTTTTTTTTGAAAAAAGTTAAAAAAAAATTAAATTGGACGGCTATTACGATGTAGGATTTGAAAATTAATAAAAATATCTCCTATATTTGTTTATTTACTAAACACCCCTATAATAAAACTTTGAAAGTTAACAAAAACACCTCAAACCCACCCATTGAATAATCACAGCCGGTCACCACCGCCGGAGGGTGGCCAGAGTCGCCGTATCGACGCATGACCGACTGGATCTTGCTGATCGTGCGCCGATATGGCCTTTGCCAGCCAGATCCACGGTGGATCTGACCGACAAAAGCCAAATCTACGGCTAGATCTGGCCATTGACGACCAGATCTGATCGCATTTGCTTGTCAACGACGACCAAAGATACTGCCGTCGATAATGGTCAACGACGACCATATGTTAGCCGTCGTTGACATCTGGTTACGGCAAAAGATCTGACCTTTTTCGACCAGATCCACCATAGATCTGGTCGAAAAAGACTAGATCGATGCACTACCGGCCAGATTCAGCCGGTAGTATGCCATTATATCAGATTCCGACCAACTTCTGACAGTGGTGACCGAAATCTGATATAATGTGGATTTAGAAGTGTTTTTGTAATTTCGAAAATAAATATTTAAGGGTATTTAATTAAATTAACAAATTTAAGAGATTTAAAAAAAGTTGAATAATATTGGATAATATTATGAGTTTTTGAGAATTTGACTGTTTAACTTTTTTAGGAATACTAATAATAGTATTCCCAAAAACCAACCATAGGGAGCCTAAGTAATCAACTTGGTGTACAAAAAGTCCCAAATGAAAAGACCAGAGAGTTGAAACCTACATCAAGTCCTTGAAATTATGTCTTGTTAGGTGTTTAAAAACAGACTTTTAAGGTATTAACAATAGCATGAGTTAAGACTTATTACAGCGTGAGATGGAGGGAAGATTGGAATGGTGGGGGAGCAGTGAGATATGTCATGAGACGCACTACAAAGAGAATGAAATATGATGTGCAGGTCTCTATCTATACCATCTTCAGTGGCTCCAATCAAAGGGCAACTTATCTTCTTTTCTGAGAGGTGAGAGCCACCTTTCCAGTGAAATTTGTCTAAAACAAAAATAATTGATCTCAACCTTGTGTTACTCTTGCCTACAGGACTACTATGTATTATTCAAAGGCTTGTCATGGACAGTTAAAAGTGAACCTATCATGTATAGAGAACATTGAATTTTCTAAATATTTGACAATATCACAAACATGTCAAAAATGCATCACTGAGAAAAGCTTGTATTTTTCACCAAGTACAATTTCTTTTTTCCCTTCACAGTCCAATGCTATAACTAAGATATGACAAGAAGTAAAACAAAAGCATGCCCACATTGGGGTTTTCACCTCTGGTCATATTCTCTACCTGTCCTAATTTTGCTTTATCATAATGCATTGTTGTAGTGCACTGTAGCATGAACTTAATCCCCTTAGCTGTGATTAACCTGATATTAGAGACAATGTTATATACTTCATAATAGTCACACTTCTTTCCAATTAACAAAAGGTCAAGAAACTGATTTGCAAAATATTGGGCAGTTTAATGGCGCCTTCATAGCCTTGTCATCAAACTAAGTACAGATTGGCTTTTATGAATGCAATGAAGGATCAACAGAAAAACAGAGTCTCAAAACAATCCAATTAAAGATATGAACATATTAATCAATTTTGGAAATGTCTAAATTTGCGATTCTCAGACAACAACGAAAAATGCCAAAATCTCACCCAGTAAGATACCACAATTATAATTACACATAGTTTTACAAAAGTTAAACACTCACTGAACACTTAGCTTCACCAAGACAAAATCTTGATCCTCTTCAAGCTTGCCGATGACGATCATTAGCTGTCTGTCTGCACAGGGTTTTTGCCCACACGTGACCTCTTTCGTTTCCTGCTCCTACTTCTCACAGTATCATTCCCCTCTTCACTTCCCTACAATTACTTCCACATATTAACAATTAATGACGTATATCAATTATCTATTTTATAATCCCCTTTCAAACTGACAACAAACTTAGCTATTTTGAAAGTACAACACCCCAAACCCAAAGCACTACTTGATCTAAGAGTGCTGAAATAGCTCACTCAAGTAATTAGATAACTCCCAAGTCCCCAGTACAGATTAATTAAAATTTCAAACTGTGATTGAAATATTATGCCTCAAACTGTTGCCCACAATTTAGAGGCTGATTATAAATTGCAGAATTGAAAAATGTCACAGCAATAAAAAAATAAAAAAATTACATCTAAACCTCACCTTTCCAGATACCCTACTTTGATTATGACTACTCTTTTTCTTCTTACATGAAAGTGGATTTGGACCCTGAAAATTAAAAAAAATTAAAAATTTACTCCATTAACTGTTGCAAAAACAATCTTAAAGAAGAAGTAGGCATGTTGCAATACGAATTACAGAATGCCACCAGTATACTTGAATTGATGTTAGATGAATCAATCTAGATGCTGGTATTACAGAAAAAAATATCAATAAGCAAGCATTACAATCCAAACCCTTTGGGGGAAGGGAGCATGCCATATTTAGAAGTCAAACTTCCAAGAGGGGTGCAAATAAATATGTTAATGTTATCGCTTATGGTGGTTTAAGAATGTAGCGGCTACACAAAAGAAAAACAGGAGTTGGTTAAAACTAGATTATGAACCAATCACACTCGATTAAGAGAGTTAAGAAAAGGACATGAGCAAAATTTTTTACCTTAGCTTTCTTTCTCTTAAATTGCGGTCTATCCTTCACACCCAATCCCTTTGTTGTATTATGTTTCCGTTCCACTGTCTGCATCTCTAACTTCTGATCTTCTAAATCTTCATTTTCATTAGATGAATCCCTAGTTTGCTCAGTTTCCAACAAGTTCTTAGCTCTCTTTTTTAACATTTTATACTCTGATTCAGTCATATGAGAGCGACCTTCTTCAGAAGCTTTGACAAATTGGCGTTGAAATGCAGATGGGGGCTCAAGGAAAAGGGCATTCCGCAAACCAAATATAAGTGGAACACCTGGAACCTGCATAATGGTAAACGAACGAATAAGAGAAGCTTCTAAAACCATAATGCAAAATAATTGACACAGGAATAAAATGCAAAAGGAACAAATCGAATGCTACAGGACATGAGACACACCGACCTCCTGTAACTTCTTCCGCAGATCAACATCCTGAGTGGCAACAAAGAAATGCTCAGAATTTTTTTCTCCAATAATATCCATGATGCAAACATCAGCACTCTTCCTCTTGTCATGATCACATCTGCCATTGGAATTTAATTTTAATTATCACTACAACTGAGAAATAATCAAATCATGTCCCCATAAAAGCTAACCAGGATGAACATGTTCTCATGAGCAGACTTCTAAAACCCCAATAAGAAAAAATAAATCAATAGAACACCGGCTGGAATACAAAACACTAAACTAGGGTTTATGCATCTTTGTGGGCTGGACACACTTCCCAATCGCAAATATTAAACCCTACTCACTGAACCCTAATCAGAATAACAAGACAAACCATACAAACTAAGCGATAACCAATCTATCATACACACGAACTTGTTAAGAGAAGCAAAAAGAAAAAGCTGACCTTGCAACTGTAAGCTTATGCGCCGCCTCGAGAGCTTCAGATTGTGACTGACCCAGTCTCTTCAACTCCTCAATAACACACCTATCAATCAAGCCGAAGCAAATAAACAAATGTTCACAACTTAATAGACAACAGCAACATATATACGTATAAAAGAAAAAGAATAAGAATAAAAAAAAGGAAAAAAACAGACTTGGTGGTGAAGAGCTTAACAGGAGCAGCAAGAGTGTTTGAAAGAGCTTGGTCAGCCGGAGTGATGCCATTTTCAATGAGGTGATGCACGAATGTACCGTCGCAAATAACTTTGTAAGGCTGCCTGAATCCAAAACAAGCTGTGAAGAATCTCACAGTCTTCCTATGGCGCTTCTGTTTCTTCACTTTCATCTTTAATTTGTTAAATTAAATCCACAATAAATTACACACTGTAATCACCAAATTAAGCTGAACCTTTATGCATAAAAGTAAAAGAATAAAATTATTCTTCACCGGCGATAAGGGCGGAAGTTGTATGTGCGAGAGGGACGAAGGGTTTTGGCTATTAAGAGAGAAGGATGGCTTAAGAAGAGGATCCGACCCATATAGATGGGCCTTTCTAATTGGGTAGAGGCCCATGTTGATTTACATAACAACGTGTAGAGAGGCCCGTGATTCCAAGGAAAATTCGTCTTAGTTTTTTTTCCATTATATATATATATATATAATATATATATAGGCAGGTGTCAGAATTTTATTGGATTTTTAATTTTAATTTAGTTGACTTCGTGTTTCTATTATCCTATGAATTGAAGTTACGATTTTACCTTTAAGGTTACATTAAATGGCGTGGGAACTGGGAATTTTCTTAAAGATTTGTAATTTTTGCTATTTATTAATTTATGCTCTTGTCTTGACAATAAACATTAAGGCACAATATATATATATAATTTATTTAAAAATATATATTTGTAATAAATTCATATTTTTAATTATCTTAAGTTATATGTTTTATAAAGGGTAGAAGTCAAATCTCTGTTACAACAAATCTGCTCATTAAATGTGAAGTTAACAATTAGATAAACCCTCTAATGATCGCTTAAAATTAAGGGTTAAGTAAACTCTCAAATGATCACTTTTAATCGAAGAGAATCGAACTCAAGACTTCTTCAGTAATACATCAAAAATCCTTATCGTCCCATCCGGTTAATTATTATGAAAATTAATCGATGAATTTGATGTATGGATTAGTATAATTCATCTTGTAAGAGGTTGTCAATTTTGAGATTTATGGCTGAAAGGCGTTAGACAAAGAAAAAAGGTGAGACATGGACGTGGGAGATGTGATAACACTCTCTATAAAAAGAGCTTTTTAATATTAAATTACAAAAAAAAAAAAAAAGAATTTTAGTATAAGAAATGATTAAGTCAATAACATGAAAGAATTTTAATATAAGAAATTTTTAATTCAATAATAATAATATAAGAAATTATAACTGCAAAATATGAATAAAACCCTAACATTATGTATGTGTGTTCAAACGGAATCTGTTTGCATTCTTATATGCAGATTGGGTAAAGAGATTATGTTAGAATCAAGAAGAGTGACATCAATTTGGAGTAGAAGAATTGTGGGAATACGCCAGATCTGTAGATGATAATAATTACATGTAAGCAGAGAAACATTCTCAGAATTCCGAAATACTGGGCAGGGCGGTGAAGCTGACAGACAGTTTAGCAAGAAAGTGTTAGAATATAGTTCAACAACCAGTTTTCCTCAAATTGATTATGTTGTTGTTGGAACAAGTACACCCGCAGAAATGGAGTACCACCCTGTCCACAATGATCATAAAAGGACAAATAACAGAATTGAATAGTTTCTGTTTAGTTACCTTGGGAAGTTTGAATATTTTTCTAGGACTAAGTTTAAAAAGCAAATAATCTATCAGAAGCTTTCATTCGAAGACGAAAGAAATTCATCACTAGTGGGTCCTTTTATATAATGAAATTTATGACATAAACAGTGACACATAATGCTCGAGATAAAAAATTATCAAACAAATGGATAATCATTCAATTCCAAAGTTAATAAATCAGCTTCTTATACAAAGAAAATTGACTAAATTGGGATGGGAAAAACAAGGATAGTAGAAGAATGAGCCAGGTATTGCTGCTTGAAGATCCAGGCAGGGGAGCATGTTGAAATGTCAAACATACTTAGAATAGAAAGATATGTATGTAAATATGATTGAGGAAAAGTCTCTAAAATTGGTTAGGAACTAGAAATTCGTTGAAAATGGATCTCCTGGAGAAGCAAAGACCTCGCCCAATTGACAGTCTTAAAGCACAAGCATATATGTTCCTTGAGATCCATGAGCTGGTGTGCAAAATTGAGCTTGTTCTTTCTTAACCGTTTCACCACTTCTTCAATGGAATACTTGTCTCCATCCCTTTCCAATCCTAGTCTTACAAGTCGTTTGTCTCCCTCAATGGCAGAGTACAATCGATCAACCAGGCGCTGAAGAGTGTCCAGATATTTGTTTATAACATATGTACCCCTCCTAGCAGCTTCAAGTTGTGCCAATTGGGCAAGCTCTTTTTTAGTGAGACCACGAGGAAAATAAGCAGTACATAAGAGAGCAGCAACAATGGCAACAAACGCATGAGCAGCAACAGCCACAGCAGCTATCATAACAGCCACAACTAAACCAATGATACAAATAGCGGAGCCAGTAGTAGCATGGTGAAGAAGACGAACTCTGGAGTGGGATTTTCGGAGATTGTGGTCAAGTTGTTGTTTCAACTCGGAAAAGCAATTGTTCATCTCCTGGAAGTTGTAAGAGTCAAACGGGTTCTTTACACAGTCACAATCAAACTGGACAAAGACTTCAAAAGCATTATTGCAGTGCGATTGAGAGACGGAGTGATGGTCAATGGGGAAAATATCAAGGAGCTCATGGAAAGGTGCATATAGAGATTGGGTACGATAGATGCTTTGAAGAAGGAGGAGACAAAGGTTGGCAGTGTCCTCAGTATGGTTGAAGGAGGTAGAAACAAGGTGCGTTACAGTATTAGGGCTTGCAATGCTAAGAGCCTCTTGTACACGTTTTCTGCTGGGCTGGAGGACTTGCGACAGAAGCTGTTGGTGTGGATCCTCATCTCCATTACCATTTATATCTTCAATCTGCAATTCAACTTGGTCGATGTTGTTGGGATCAAGAATGTGAATCTTGGACAGAACTTCATTGTAGGAAGTGGAGTGGACAATGAGGGAATATAACCTAGTTATGTAATTAGCGGGTGAGGGCTGAGTGCTCGTCCCAGGAGAACCTTCCATCAAACTCCCCGCTGCTCCCAAAAGAAATTCATCATTTTCTTTAGTCTAAAAGAATACAAGAAAACAAGCAAAGTAGCAACACAAAACCTAAAAAGACCCCACTATACTAATCAAACGAAATTTGCCAAAATCAAAAGGCAAACAGAAAACACCAAACCAATTTAACAAGAAGATGATAGAGCAACTAATGATTAGTGTTAAAAGGATGCCCCAATTCTTGAAGGTCTAAAATCAGCAGAAATAGCACAAATACTGATACAGAGTCATTATATAAACATGCGCAGCTACTAATAAGGCTCCATTTCGGTTGCCTAGCTTTACTAAACATACTATTCTCATCTACCCATCTCTAATTTCTTCAATAATTTGTCTATAGCATCTCAAATAAACATTTCGTTTCATAAATTTATACGAACACTTAGAAGAAGCTTTACCTTCGGAAACATTAAGGTTGATTGTTGCCGGTGAAGCTGTTGTTGATGACGTTGGTGAAGGTGATTTCGTAAACAGAAACTGTAGCATTTCGAGCTGCTGTAAGTGTCTTATCTTTTTCAGTTATGAGTTATCTGCCAAAAAGAACAAAGGAAGATATTATGGAATTGAAGAAGCTCTTTCTTTACTTGTGTAAGAAGAAGCTTATAAAAAACCGCGTTTTGTTTATACGGATAATTGGTTACAATAACGACACGTTCGTTTTACTTTCCTTCGGTGACGTGGCTCGTATTTTATTTTTTAAAATTTATAATATTAAAATAATTCATGTTGGTAAATAAGACCATTTTGCTTGCATCAACCAATTTTGTTATTTCAGGAAGAAATCAAAATTAGAATTGAAATAGTTTCTGGGTTTGTTAACTTGTTATTTTCAGAGGCATTTATGTTATTTGATATTGAAAACCTTGTCCTTGTGCAGTCAAAATGCCCAAATCCAGTGGCTTTTATTCAATATTTAGGAAGACGAAAGAAAGGCTTCCAAGATTATACAAATGGTGCATAATATTATGTCCATTAATATACCATGATTTGCATTGATCTAAATAATAATAGTATGGGTCCATTAATATACAAATAGTTAAACACCATATAATCCTTGAACAAAATCACCGCGCAGTATAAGTGCCACTATTATCAATGCAAATGGATATCCTCCAATTTCCACCATTACAAATCAGCTTTGTATGAGCACCAAACTTTTAACAAAATTTGGAGAGGAAATAAGCATGGTAGATATATAAACCAGGTTTTCTGGCTTGAACATCTTGGCACTTGCAACTTGATCTGTGTAAAAAGTGCAGAAAGCCCAATGTTAAAGATGCAAAAGGTCTATTTCTTTGTCAAGGTTAGGGGGCATGTTAAACTGGGTTAAGCAATGATACATATTGAGAATGGAAAAATAATTCTCAAGTATGACTAGAAAATATCACTATAATGGGTTAGGAACTACCAGTTTGGTGAAGATGGACCTCTCGGAGGAGCAATGACCTAGTCCTATTGACAGTGTTAAAACACAGGCAAATATGCTCCTCAAGATCCTTAAGCTGGTCTGCGAAATTCAGCTGGTTTTTTCTCAGCTGTTTCACTACCTCTTGAATGGAATGTTTGTCCTTACCTCTCTCCAATCCAAACCTTACCACCTCCCTGTCTCCCTCAACAGCAGTGTATAAGCGAAAAACAAGCCGGTCAATTGTGTCCAGATCATTGTTTAACACATATGTACCCTTCTTAGCAGCATCAAGTTGTGCAACATGGGCAAGCCCTTTTTTAGTAACACCACAGGGTAGGTAAGCAGTACAAAAGGGAAAAACCACAACAGCAAGAAGTGCATGAGTAGCAACAGCTGCAGCAGTTATAGTAACTGCCACAGCAGTACCAATGATACAAAGGGCAGTGCCTCTGATAGGATGGCGGAAAAGACGAACTCTTGACTGAGATTTTCGAAGATTATGGTCTAGTTCTTGCCTCAACTCAGAAAAGCAACGACGCATTTCTTGGAAGTTGTGGGCATCCGGGCAGGGAAATGGATTGTCAACACAGTCAAATTGGAGGAATACCTCAAAAGCCTTATCAAACAGTGATTGACTGGTGGAGTGATGGTCAACGGGGAAAATGTCAAGGAGCTCATGGAGAGGGCCATAGAGAACCCGGGCACGATAAATGCTTTGGTGGAGGAGAAGGCAGAGGTTAGTGGTGTTCTCACTATGATCGAAGTACGTTGAGACAAGGCGGGTAAGGGCATTAGGTCTCGCATGACGAAGGGCCTCTTCTACACATTCTCTGTTGGGTTGGAGAACATGTGACAAATCCAGTTGGTGAGGATCCTCATCTACACTTGCATCTTCTATCTGCACTTCGGCTTGATCTTGGTCATGGTTGTAATAGCTCCCATTTCTTGGGTCAAGAACGTGAATTTTAGACCACATTTCATTGTAGGAATTGGACTGGACAGTGAGGGAGTATTCCCAAGTAAGGTTAACAGCAGGTGAGGGTTGAGTGCTTGTTCCAGGTGAACCCTCTGTAGAATTCCCTGCAGTCCCCAAAGAGGAAATCGTCACTTTCTCAAAGTAAACTGAATTTCATTCATTCTCCACAAAGGCACAAACCATAGAAGCAGGATCGACCCTGTTACCAGCAAAGTAGCAACAGCTTTCTATTAAGCGGCTATTAACCTAAGAAAATAAGTTTGTTAACATCAAACAAGAAATAACTAACAACCCTCGGGGTTAGTGAAGTGTTCAGGCCCATGGTATGCTCCTGAAAGGTCACTGCTTCGTTCTGTCTGTTTTTTGCAGAAAGTCCTGAATTTCTTAAATTTGTAAGGTTGAGGTCGCTAATATTAAACAGAGGGAAAAACAATACTAGAAACTAATGTTACCGAAAAATTTATCAGTGACCTATTAGTGAAAACCAATGTCCCAATTCTTGCTAAGTGTAACATCTTCAGTAAAAGCAATATTCACCATACACTACACAGAATCATGCCTACCAAAACATAATGATATCTCCAGTCCAAACAAGCTTCATCAATATAATAGTAAAGAATTTACCCCTTCAACCTATTCCGACATAGCTGATTAGCAAAAAATCATAAGGGAAAAAACTATCAAACCAAACTCGTACTCACTTCTACTTCAGCATAGAAGACAAAATGGGGGACCAACAAATCCTCATATCCGTTACCCATCTCTAGTTACTTCATTAATTTAAGAGCTCAAAGTTTAAGTTCAAGTTCAAGATGATACGATGAACAAATTTTAATCACACATTTACACAAACAGATGACGTGCATACAAGAAGAAGATGATTACCTTGAGAAAGCGGAGGATAAGCATGAAGATTGAGCGTCGCCGGCGAAGTAGGTAACGAAGTGGTTGCTGATGATGACTTGTTGATAGATAGACACTGTAGCATAGCTGACCTGGTTACTTATAACTAATTTTGACAAAGTCAATGCAACCAGAAGCATAAGCTATAGACTTTATAAGTTTGTGTATCAAGAATCGTAAGAAAAATTAGTGGGTGGTTTTAGCTCAGCCTCAAGACGCCCCACCAGCCGCCAGATTCCAACAACGAGTTGAAACAATTCAATATCATCCTCAAGATTTCACGAAGTAACTTTAGTCTTCTTTAATTTTTCACAAACGTTTTAGTCCCTGTTAACTGTTAAGTGTTACTAATTTCGAAAGCATGCATAGAATGACATGACACAATCTTCATCGTCTATTAATATTAAGTTATAATTAATCAACGATTAGAATTATGTCACATCATTCGATACATACTTTTAATGCACTTTCTGTTGTTATACAATTTTCCTATTAATAATGTTATCGGGACCAAAATGTTTCTAACTGACAGGGACCTGAACGTTCCTAAAAAATTATACAGGAACACAGTTACTTGAACCAAACTTGTGGATTTGTAATTTGTTATTATCCCCTACAACTACGAGTGTCCATGAATAGGTTCGAATTTTGGAAAACCCACTTGACATCTGAAATGGTTTTATTGGGTACTGTCTTAGGAGCCGGATCTTCTACCACCCGGCCCATGAGCCCAAGGTCAAGTTGACCACCTTAAACAATTTTTTTTTTTTTTTTTTTTTTGTTTTAAATAAAGGAAGGTCAAAGAGACATCAAATTATTTGAAATCACACCAACTCCAAGCTTAACTTTTATATTAACAACAAATTTATGGTTTACAACCAGATTTTCATTACATTTATAATGGAAAAAATGAAGAAAATAATAATAATGCAGCTGTTCTTTATACACTTATCAAACAGCTGAACTTCTTCTCTCATGTTCCCCCCCCCCCCCAAAAAAAAAAAAAAATAAACAATTAAAAGAAAGGGACAAAAAAATGTATTTCACAAAAATCACGCTGAATATCTGGGAGGCAAACAAGTTCTGCTCATTTTGTAGCTCTAAATAACTGGCTTCCAAGGGTCACCGTTGGGGTTCCTTCCCCCATAACTGTTGTCAAGCTCATTTCTTTCTCCAGTGTCCGATCGAGTTCCATTACTACATAGCTCATCGAAGGTCGCCTCTCACTTGAAGGATCCAAGCATCGGACTATCAACTGTAGGAACTCTTCCATACCTTCTGTTGTGAAACTATTCCCCAATCTCTCGTCGATGATGCTTGAAATATTGCTAAAATCTTGACTGTTTTGCACCTTCATATGTGAACAACAAGAAAACAGTTTTAATCCAGAAAACCACTTGAATATCTTTGTGTTACTTAGCAAGTAATTTACTTGACAGATTGTATGGTCTGAAATGTATGCAGTGCATATTAACACTAAAATATGAAGTAGATCACATACCAATTCAACCAAATTCTTACTGGAATCTGAAGACAGCGAATCTGATGCTTCCCGCCCACTTACTAACTCCAAAAGGAAGACTCCAAAACTATACACATCGCTTTTTTCAGAAAATCTTCTGAATTCTTTCACCCTGCATAAGCAAACAGCAAATAAGTGTCAACTGATAAACCAAGTATCACTCTTAAAAGGTCAATCAAAACATGGGGAATCAAGGAGTAATACTCCGGGGCAAGGAATATCTCATCAGCTGTGACTTGTGATGATGGCCCAGCAACATCAGTTCTCCCAAGAAAATTTCGAACTCCAGCATCTGCAACCTTGGCTATGAAATTTTCATCTACAAGAACATTGGCTGTTTTAAAATCTTTATGTACCACACGGGGAATCAGGGAGTGAAGATGAGCCAGACCTACGCATAGAAAAGTTATATGAGGCTGGCTGAACCAGAGAGCAGAGCTTCAAGATGCCTCAGTTATAGCTACAAGGCATTTCACATTTAGAGGTGGAATTTTTTAATAATTCAAAGTCTCCAAGAAGCTTACAAAAGAATTTCTGGGACCAATATTGATGTTTGGATTGTTTATCATAAGAAAAGAAAAACTGATACCAGGAAAGCCTTAAATGCTCACTGATTTTGCAGAGGATCACCTTTAGCTGCCCCTAGAGCTATCGAAAGTCTATGCTTGAATTCTAGCTTCTGACGGGAAACTTGGCCAGCTCCTGAAAGAGGAAAGAAAGAAAAAATCAAGAAAAATTCAGGAATTAAGTACATCATGGACACATCATTTGAGTAAATGTTAACTTAGCAAAATCTTCACATATATCATCCGTTTTGCATAGATATCTTTGGAAAGCCAAGTTGACACATCTATTTATATTTAAAGAAAGATAAACTTGTGTGTGAGAAGTGTACACACACCAGAGACAAAAAAAAAAAATAGCAAAATATTTTCACTTGTTACCCTAGTACATGAAGCTCATAAAACAAAATTAGTGACTGGATTAGAGAGTTACCATACAAGTGAACGGAAACACTCCCATTAGGTACATACTCGTATATAAGAAACTGTAAATTATTTTCCTGACAGTAACCCAGAAGAGTCACAAGATTCCGATGATGAATAGATGAGAGGAAGTGTACCTGAGAGTAAAAGTCTGTCCTATTAGACCAAACAATGAAGAGTGCAGCACAAATATATGGTAGTAGATTACACAAGTAGGAAAAAATTATACAAAAATACAATCCAGGCACTTTTGACATATTAATAACAAGGGGAAAAGGACATGATTGCCGACAATATAAGAGAAGAAAAGGCTACAGAACTGAATATCAAGGGAGTCACCAACATTCTGAAGACTAATAACTGAGGTGGCACTTGTGCATAATTATTGTCATCAATCTGAAGCTAACAAAAGATCCTCAGAAAAATAATATAAAGAGAATAAAAAAAGACCTAAAGATTGCCAACAATATAAGAGAAGAAAAGGCTACAGGACTGGATATCAAAGGAGTCACCAACATTCTGACTACTAATAACTGAGATGACACTTCTTGTGCATAACTATAGTTATCAACCTGAAGCTAACAAAAGACCCTCATAAAAAATATATAAAGAGAATCAGAAAAGAACCATAACATGCTTTGTGATCCAGCAACTGCCAGCAAGGTACATCCATACCATAAGTAAAACAAGGAAGTGAATTACTGTTAGAATCAAGTATTTAAATTAAATAGTTATTACTAATTGTGTTGAGAAAGCAATATAATCTCTATCACACCTCACAGCAATTCCAATGCTTGAAAGTAACACTGAAACACTACCGAGTAGGTATAACCAAAGAAAAATGTCTACATGGCAGCATCCGATGTAAGACCATTATATGACTCTCCTTACCAATATCATAAGTTCACAAGCGATGAGTTTTTAGTTAACACTTCATTTATGAAGCATATTATACAGACAATTTGATCTTAGGCGAGGAAAGTGGTTATTACCTCATCAATGAACTCACGACTAGGTGCTCCAGGTCGCTTCTTTATGGCTACCAGCATCCCATCCTGTAGCAAACCCTTATATACCTCTCCAAATTTTCCTTCCCCAATCAGGTTTTTATCACTAAAATTTTTCGTTGCATGAGACAACTCTTCCATAGCAAAAGGCCTAACTTCTCGTACTGATAACTCAATCCCAACATTTCTACCTGCTGCAGATCATGCAACAAACCATATGAATAAATAATACCCCACACTGAACTTGTAGCTCTCAAAACCTTTGAAACACAGTAGACAGAAATGTTACCTTGAACAGATTGATCAGAAGACCCTGTTTCTGAATTTCTTGAAACACTTCGTTTATGATACAGGCAGAACCATATGAGAAAGATAACTATCCCCACCAAAGCCACAGCTCCTGCAGCACCTCCAATTATTGCCGCAAGAGTCGCTGACATTTGGTATGGGAACCACTCTAGGTATGAGGTAATCTATAACTAGGATTCAAAGTACTGTACATTGAACCTGAAACATAAAGAACCCCACCAGCTGATGAATCTTAATCTGTGAAGGAAAAGGAAAACAGAATAGGGAATGTGCATATTAAAATGAAGAGACGATCATTTTCAGAAAATTTCATGTCACAAGCAACGATTAACATCATAAAATACTTGGCACCCAAATAAATGTCTATTCTCTACAAATAGCTTTAGCATCATAAACAGCTGATTCCAAAAAGCAATTTACAACATAAAGTTCAAACCTTGTAGACGTAAAGCTGCCAAAACCATAACTAGTATGCTGAAGACATACATTAATTGAATCGTCACTAAACAGAAACGTTCAACATTTGAATCTTCTGACAAATGCTATTTAACTAGCCATTCATAAATGTCAAAAGCATCCAAGTCATAGCCCAATACAGTATTAGTATATAAAATTGAAATGCATATCAAGTATATGGGGATTGTCAGCTAAAGGTCCAAACCTGTATTCCCAGAGAAATTCTGCAGCCAGATCTCCAGAAACCTTAACTTCATTTGCCAATGACAAAGAAAATCAATCTCCCAATATGACTATCACCAAAACAAAGAATCCCACATTGAAAATAAAGAATCCCCTATCTCATGCAACCAAACCCAGAAATCCCAAACAATTAAAAAAAAAAAAAAAAAGTAAAATCAAATAATAAAGATTATTGACATAAAAAGAAATGAAAACCCAGTACTGATCACGACCAGACCAATAGTTTTGGCCAGGTCCAAATGATGCAAAAAAAAAAAAAAATGGAACAAAACACAATACAAAGACAGGTTCAGACAGCAACAACAAATGAATTAAGAATCCCCAGAAGCATCTCTCTATCTCCCTTGTACTTTCGAAAAAAAAAATTGAAAGTAAATAAATCCCTCTCTATTGTGTATCATCGTTGGATACAGACAATGCCGACAGAAAGCGACCTTGCGCCGACAACACAAACACAAATACACACACTCATACGCACTCTCTCTCTCACACACAAGCACAGAGTTTATTACTCTTCTGTACGGAACAATCCATCTCAAACCCACAAACAAAAAATGATTTTATATAAACTATACCAGTATTTAACACAAACCGCGCAAGAAACCCAATAAACGAATCAAAACCCAACAATTTATATGCTTTTGATGTTGGAAGACAAACCCCATGTACAAGACTGAGCAAGAATGTGAAGAATTCAAGATGATTATGAACAAGAAAGAAAGAAAAAGGTATATTTGTTTATAAAAAAAAAATAAATAAATAAAGAAAGATCAAATTTTTAATATGGTTTTTTGTGTGGGCTGTAAAGCAGTACAGTTTATATACTTGTCTGATACTGCAAGTTGAGTGAGAGAGAAAGAGAGATTTATATACAGGCCATCTTGGCTGTAAGCCTGTAACTGATATACATTTGATTCACACCAAAACTAAATAGATTTCGTTAACACCCTTCTCTATTTTTTATATTTAATATTTATCTTATAATATGATCAAATGATTGTTTTTCTTTTTCCTTTTTTATTGTTAACTTTCTTTATATTTCTATTGGATCTATATTTTATATCATTCTACAATATACTGTACTACTTGTTTTAATTATTTTTATTATACCATTAAAAATGAAATTAAATACCCACTTGATGCTTTATAGACAAGTAGATAGAGAAAATGCTTCTTTGGAAAGTATCTCAACCTCAAATATCTTTTTCCATTTGTTGAATATTGTTGGGAAAGTATTTCCAAGTACTCTTTCTATCCTATAAAAAAGAAAAAGAAAAAGAAAAATTGTTTGTTTCAACCAGATGAAACACTATATGCTCTTTACAGAGAAGCGCCTGCTGGTGTTTCCAAAGAAAACGTTTTCCAAAGTAAAAACGTATAGAAAACAAGGAGAGAAGAGAAATTACCAAACAATTGTGGTGTTCACAAGAAGTCCAGTTTTGAAAACATTTCTAGAAAAGAGTTTGGGGTATTGTATTACTTAAAACATTCTTGAACCCAAAGAGAATACAATAAATAAAGTAAATGAAAGAGAGATTCAAAACTGTCTTTGGGGTTGTGGGGTAGTTATCCCTACCAGCCAGCTATGTTGACATTGCTCCAACTCAGTCTTATAATATTAATCTAATTTTTTTTTTTTTGTTTTTTAAATTCACAAGTTCTCACATGAACACTTTGGATTCTTGTTACCATGTTTCAATAATAATAATCCAAGAACTGCCCCAAAGTTGATTTTAATGTTGTTCTTTTGATGGTTATAAGTGTCACCAACCATAATTTATTTATCGGTAATACTACATGTACAAAAAATTATACAAAGATTTCTTGTATAAAGTGATGTGTCAGGAAAGACTGAATATAATGAGTTTGACTTTCTGTATTCACTCTTCCATTCATCTCTTGTCACCTCACTTTGTACAAATAGTCTTTGTATGTTTAGTATTATTGTTATTTATATTGCGATAAACGGTAGATCCTAACTAGTATAATGATAGGTTTGATTTTTCTAGAGAGTATGTTGTTTGCAAGCAAATACCAAAAGAATTAATGATCAAACGGGTCTTTCTTGCTGATCAATGTATATAAAATTATGGGTTGTTGTTAATGTTAAATAATTGAAGTTGATTGTAATGTTGCATTTGATGGGTTGCACCAACAAGAACATAAACAAAATACAAGGGCTTAAATGATTGGGGTAATTTTTTAATGCAACACCAATAATAGTTGAACAACCATGCTTAAATTTATAATGTCAAAATTATTGTTGTTCACTTCAATCTTGAGGTGTGAATGGAAGTTAAAAACTTTCAAACTCTACTCAATGCCAACATAACTTCAAACATCAAACCTCAAAAGAGGTCAACTTCCAATTCTCGTTTTGACAAAAACGTTTTTATATAAAATACTTGAATAAAATATCTCCACAGTTGTATTTAAAATTTATCTATATAATCATTATACAAGTATTTAATTTGTCCATCATGAGTAGTCAATCAACATGCTTTAAGGAATATATTGTACAATTGTTATTAACAATCAGCACTTTTTCATGGGCTTACATATCCTTTTGAACTTCATTATTTGAGCTTTGGGCTACTGGCTACCTATTACATCCTTTTCATACTGGACTTTTAAGTCCATGATTAAACCCACTTCACTTAAAAAATTATATATTCTAAAAGTTTAATCCCGTGACAATGGATGAATTAAAGTTGCAGCGATTATTTACATCAAAAAAAATAATTTCCAGTTTTTTTTTTTTTTTTCAATTTAAAGAGTTAATCCTGAAAAGAGAAGAATAATTAAATCATCAAAGGTTAATGTATTCTTTAGTAATTGTAAGTCTAACATATATTAATAGTTATAGAAAATTATTAATGGGATTATAAAGACATAAGTGTAGAGATAGGCGTGGGGCGAGTTTCCCATTCTTTGTCCTCGTCCCATCTAGGCCTGCAATCGAACCGAACACGAATGAATAGCTCCGTTCGAAACTCATTCGATAAGCATGAAAGACTGTTCGATTTCGTGTTCGAACACATGATGACTGTTCGTGTTCGTTCGATTAACAAAAGGCCAGTTCGTGATCTTTCGACTAACTGAATTCAAGATCTGTTTGTTCTAGAGTAAAATGAGCGAAATTAAACAAATCTGGACTTTTCTCAAGAGCCAAACAACGATTCATGAAAACAGAAAGCGAAATAACTTACGAGAATCAACTGCATCTTCCTTGAATCTGAGTTTGTGAATAAAAACTGAAAGCTCTCTCCTTTAGTCCTTTATACTTTGTCTCTGTTTGTTTCATTATCTAATTCCTGCCTAACTACTGAGTGTTGAGGCGTTGGGCCTGTCGCGTTGAACAAGCTCAAAATTGCAGAAAAAATTAGGGTTGTGAACTGTGATGTGAGTGAGGCTATCGCAATATGCAAAAAGAAAAAGGTGGAATTGGATTTGGATTTTTGTTTTAAAATTTGGGCTAGGCTGGTAAGGGAAAATGTGAAATTGGGTATATATATATTGGATTTGGATTTTTGTTTTAAAATTTGGGCTAGGTTGGTAAGGGAAAATGTGAAATTGGGTATATATATATATATATCTATAATGTATAATTGTGTATGTACAAAATTATTATCATACATATATTAATCATAAATTAAATATGTTTAATATGTTATGAAATTACTAAAATTATAAGTTATCATATATTTATTATTATTACATAAATTATCATAAATGTTTTAAATGTTTACATATATATTTTATATCAACACCTATTAATTCATAATAGAATGATCATATGTGTGATTAATTTGTTATATATATATTGTGTAATTGTGTATATACAAAATTATTATCATACATATATTATTCATAAGTTAAATATGTTATTAAATTATCAAAATTATAGGTTATTATATATTATCATTACTGTCTATATATATATTTTGTATCAACACCTATAAATTCATAGTGGTGTAAAGGTTTATTGTAATATATAATCAATATAAATGCGTGATTAATTTAAGTTTAATTAAGCTATTATGTTATTAAATTTGTCATGCTATATATCACTTGATTATACAATATATTATGTTCATAAATTGGTCATATTATATTTAATTAAGCTATTATATTATTAAATTTGTCATGTTATATATCACTTAGGGATACAATATATTATGTTCATCAATTTACCATACTATATTTAACTAAGTTATTATATTATTAAATTTGTTATGCTATACATCACTTGATTATACAATATGTTATGTTCATCAATTTACCATACTATATTTATTATTTAATAATTGAAATGATATCTTATAATATTTAATTATTGATTACATTTGGAAAAATATGAAGCTATTATGTTATTGGATTTACTATATTATATATCACTTGATTATACAATCTATTATGTTATTAAATTTGTCATNAGCTGCATCCTCTGGAGGAAATGGTGAAAATGGATTGAAGGCTTCAATTTCATCGGTGGATGGAACGTAAAACTCATTTGGGGAAGACATTATAAATTTATGATAAAATAATAAATAATTAAAATGAAAAGAAATTAAATAATAATATGAAATTATGATGATATTGAAAAATAGAAAAAAATTTGAATAATATAAAAAATAATATAAAAAAATTATAAATATAAATTGAATGAGAAATTGATTGGAGATTTGGAGTAGAGAGATTGAGAGAATGAAAGAATGAGAGATTGAGAGAATGAAAGAATGAGAGATTGAGAGAATGAAAGAATGAGAGATTGAGAGATTGGTGTGAAAAAAATTAAAGGTTTTAGGGTTATTTATAGTGTAGTTGTGGGGGGGAAAATGAAAAAAAAACTTATATTATATAAATAATAAATGTAACCGTTGGCACTGGCAGTTACCGTTGGCTGCAACGGTTATTATTATTATTTTTTTAATAAATTTTGTAAAATATCATTTTAGTCCTAAATTTATACTGATTTTAGGGGGTTTAATGTAATTTTATAAAGGATTAAATTGATAAAAGATAAATAAACTTTTGGGCCCAGGCTCGGGCCTTGGAGGAGGGCCCGGTGGAGGGCCCGGGCCCTCCTCCTTAGGCCTGGTCCCACTTTGGGACCAGGCCTCCTAGGACCGGTCCTCCCAGTCCTAGGCCCGGTTTTTGGAGCTGGGCTTTTGGGCCCGGTCCCAAATGCCCAGCTCTAGGGCGAGTATAGGGTCGAGAGACATCTCTCCCCATCCTCGAGGATGGGGAATTTTTTGGTCTCCATGCCTGTCCCCTCCTGAAACAGGGAATCCCCACCCCGCACAGGGCGAGTTAAGTCCCTAGAAATCGGGGGACCATATCCATCTCTAGTGGTGAGTTTTGGGTATGAAAGGTTGTTTTGTGATTCATGAGGTGGGAAAAAATTTACATAAGCATTTTCAACGATGAATTTTATGAAGAATCGTTTGTGAAATAGAATAAGTGATCAATAGTTGAATGATAACTTAGTTGTATATATAGAGAAAGATGTATTTCATAGTATTGATAATGACTTTTTGTGGACCAGCCCACATAGATTCATTGGTGGGACAAGCTCTTTTTGGGATGGCGTGAGAGCACTGATTGTTGGTGTGAATCCAGACTTATCGATTGAACGTCTATTGTTCCAACTTGTGTCGATTGCATGGACAATTCTTCTAGATTTGGAAGGTGCAATTGAGGGACATTTGCATCAAGTTGGTTTCACATTTCATTTGCTGGATAAGGTAACTAAGAGGGTGTTTGTCTAAGCTTATAAGCAGATCAAACTAGCTTATAAGTTCTAAAATTAAGCTAACATGTTTGTTTATGGTGTTTGTCTAAGCTTATAACTGGTCAAACTAGCTTATAAACTCTAAAATTAAACTGATTTGTTTGTTTATAACTTTTTTGAGCTTATAAGTTGAGCTTATAAGCAAAAAAAAAATTAGTTGGGGGGGGGGGGGGGGGACTTTTTTTTTTTTTTTGGGGTTTGCCCAAAGATATTACCACATTTTCCTTGTTTAATTTTAAAACATTTTCTAGTATACCCTGTTAATGTAGTCCCTTTTAGTCATTTTATAATAAAATATACTTATAATCATATTTTATCAACACGCTACTTATCAGTCATTTATAAGTATTTTAATTAAACACGAAATTGTTTAAAATTTCAAATGCTATAAGCTAATTTTCATAAGCTCAGACAAACATCTTATAACTTTTTGAGCTTATAAGCCAAAAAAAAAAAATAAAAAAAAATAAAAAAAAAATAAGTTGGGGGGAAGTACTTTTTTTTTTTTTTTTTTTTTCTTATAAGCACTATGCTTATAAGTTAGTTTGGCCAAATATATTAACACATCATCCTTGTTTAATTTTAAAATTCCATAGTATACCTATTTAATATAGTACTCTTTTTAGTCATTTTGTAATAAAATGTATTTATAAAGCAACATTTTACCAAACATGTCAACTACTTATCAGTCACTTATAAGTACTTTAACTAAATATGTAATTGCTTAAAATTTCAAATGCTTATAAGCTAAAATTAGCTTATAAGTTAATTTTCATAAGCTCAGACAAACACCTCCTAAGTTAATCTCAAAAAACTTAGAGAAAAACTTAGTTGAAGCATTCACTCCAATTGGTATAAAAGATTGGAATTTGTTGATGCGTGATTTTGACATCAACGACTTTGCATGTGCAAAGTGCTAAGAGATTCTTAGAAATTACACGTGAGATGATTATGAGAGTTGATTATGGTGCAGTGGTGATATATGTTTGAAGAAACATAAATAAAAGATTAATAAGAGAGATTTTTATAGTGGTTCAGATGCTTATAAGCAAATCCTATATTCACTGTTATTTTATTATTCTCTGACTATTTTTCTGATATCGCCTGTAAGGCGTACAAAGATGGAGTAATGCTTTGTTTATAGAGAAAAATAATGAAGTTCAAATGTATGTTTAACTCTTATATGCCCAACCCTTCTTTTTTATGAAGAGAGGTGTCTATTTATACATTTGAACTCAATGTAATGAGTGTTTTTGCCAGATGTGAGGACACATGAGAACCCCTCCCTAGTCCTTATCTTAAAATGAGATATGATTGATATAAATGCTCTTAAGTTGGTTTGGTTTTAACCGCTAATGTTCTTTTGTCCTTAAGTGCTTGTTAAACTTTGATTGATGAGACTGACAGCTCATTTCGATTGTTGATGTTGACATTAATGTATTTTTTGGCATAACAGAACTCAATATTCTGGATCGCTCACCTTGGTGGCCCTGCTATTCTTGACCAGGTTGAGGCCAAATTGTGTGTGAAAGAAAAAAAACTAAGGGTAACTCGACACATTCCAAGTGAATATGGTAATATGTCAAGGGCATGTGTGTTGTTTATACTGGATCAGATGAGAAATAATTGTGTTGAAGAAGAGATAAGACCACCACAAGTAAAGGCTAGAGTGAGGTGTTCTTTTTGGGTTGGGGCCTGGCGTCACCGTTGAGATCCTTGTATTGCACAACAATTGATCCACATCTCCTCATTCTCACCACCATATTCTGATTATCGTGCTTGATGATCAATAGATCGTCATAAAATAAATAAAGCATTTTTTTATTGTTTTAAATTAAAATGGAATTTTATATCTTCTAATTTAGCCATTTAAGGAGACCACAACTCTTTTATCATGTAATAGGAATGAGCAGTTTCAATGTTAGGAAACTTTAGTGAATTTACTGTTTTTAGTATTTAGTGATACCATCTAACAAAGTTTGTATTTAAGAAAATATCAATTAAAGGATGATAAAAATGGGTGCTATTTTCTTATAATAAACGTCCGCGAAACAAAGCAAACATCAATTAAGATTATATTTTGTATGTAAAGAATTACTGTTTTTTGAACAAGGAATAATATGTTAGATACATTAGAGAATAAGAATTTTATTAAAATAATTTATTTTTTTAGTGTTTAATGAATACTATATAAAATGATTTAAAGTGGTAATCGGCGATTAGCAAAAGGCTGGATCATGTGAATAAAAAACGGAACTTATTATGTTAATCATAAATTGATATTATTGTTTACCCGTCAAAATAAGCCAACGGAAAAAGCAACAGTTGTGATCTCTGGTGCACCACCGGCAAAGCAAACCTTGACGATACCTGAGCCATTGAAAACTGACCGTCGTAGTTTGAACGTTTGGTAAATTGATAAGTCTCTTCTACTCAGACCTGGCATGGCATGTGTACACTTGATCTGGGTAGGCCCCATTCTTTAATCGCCTCCGTCGCAACTTCCTGGGCCAGCTTAATTAAGTACCACCGCAACTGCAATCAAAATGTCCTCAGATTTTCTTCTTTTAGACCAGGTATGGCCTCAACCTGGTCAAGTACAGCGGGGCCACCAGGGTGAACAATACAATTTGGAATGACTAATTCAACCAAGTTATTGCCTATGCATGTTTTCCAAGATTAACTTTGGCACCTTTTCTATCAAATGTCCTTCGATTGCCCCTTTAGAATCAGGAAAAATTTCCTCTGCAACCGAAACTAGCTGGAACAACGGACGTCCAATCACTGTGCCCCAGTTTTGAAATATATTAATAATGCCTGTTCTGTCCTCACTTATCAATTTGAATAGCTCCTCTTGTTTCCAAGTTTTGGTGTGTGATCTTAGTAAATTAAATATAATTATCTATATAGCAATACTTTGTCAATTTATGCGGTATCACATAATAATATTTGGTTCTAATTTTAATTTCTATAGAAAATAATCAATAAATCTTTTTAATTTAAAAAACAATGTAATATATTGATTCGGGTCCTAAGAATATTGGTTTAGAATTTATTGAAACAGATTCTGTCACAATAATGTCATGTTTTGTCTATTGTTTAAATATATGTTGTATGTGTGCGCAAAATATTGGGTTGTATTAAAACTGTTTTTAACACAATATTAAACGTGTAATTAAATTTCATCCGGATTACATGTACTCCCCTAAAGTTTATTCCGATAACATTCAACTCCTACAAGTTTTGGAAATGAACGTTAGACTAATAATTGAGAAGGACAAGAGTTACAAATTTATTTTCCCCGTGTTCTTGATTCGAGCCACTAATCCAATGACTTTATTTTTATTAAACAAAGATATGGTTGGAATTAGGCCCCTCGACCCAGTACCTACTACCTACCCCCCAAATGAATGACTTTAACCCCCCAAACTTTGGCCAAGATTCCTCGTTAGGTTAATCGCCATCCTGTATTGAAAAATTATGATAGTTTTGGATGTGTATGATATTGTTAGTTTTTAAAACTTACGGGATTTCAACTGAAGTTTGAACTTTGAATTTCAGTTAGGTTTTACAATAACAAAAAAGAAAAAGAAGAAAAAAAGGGTCTCCTTCAATCTATGAATGGTGTTTCATTTGGCAAAATAATTTCATCACTCAATTTTATATGTTGTTTAAATATATAACGAGGGTCTCTTTTAGCTCTTCAAGCTAAGTAAGACAAACCCCAGATGGAGACTAGACTTTGACAGTCTTAAACAAAGCAAAATATTGTCTAAATTCATTTATTGATTTGAATCAATTTTTCACAAAAAAAAAAAACTGAAAGCTTTTATATGGTGAGAGCAGCCATGAGAAAATTATAAGGAATGGAAGGAGACTTCACCGACCAAACCCAATTCTCACATGATCACCAACAACAAATTAATACATGCATGCCTTTACCTACTAAAACTTCTTCCAAAGGGGTCAAGTGCCCCCGACAAATTAAAACAACCACTCAAAATCAAACCCAGTATCCCGGAAGAGTCTCAGCTCTAAACGGCCACCTCACATCTTTGCTACAATATTCTAATTATTATTAGATATAATAGATGATGTAACAGATCTTATGGGATTCAGTGGGCGGCTGCCGGAGCAAGAGGAACACTGTGCAAAACGACGGTCTCGACGGTCAGACCCGGCCCGAACCCGAAAAGAACACCCCAGTCTAGCCCTTCACCTGTGGTAGTCTTGCCTTCTTCAACACACTTCTTTCTCATCTCATCCAGGATAAACAACACGCATGCGCTTGACATGTTACCGTAATCACTTAGAACTTGTCGGGTAGCCCTCAGTTTTTCTTCTTTCAGTCCCAGTTTGAGCTCGACCTGGTCGAGAATTGCGGGGCCACCGGGGTGAGCAATCCAGAAAATTGAGTTCCAGTCGTTAATGCCGATTGGAGTGAATGCTTCAACAAGGCTTTTCTCAATGTTCTTGGAGATCAACCCGGGAACATCTTTCAGCAAATGGAATGTGAGACCAACTTCACGCAAATGTCCATCAATTGCACCGTCAGAATCAGGGAGAATTGTCTGTGCAGCTGAAATAAGCTGGTACAGAGGACGCTCAATGGATGTATCGGGATCCGAACCGACAATCAATGCTCCTGCACCGTCACCGAAAAGTGCCTGTCCTACCAATGAGTCCAAGTGGGTATCAGTTGGCCCACGGAAAGTCACGGCGGTGATTTCAGAGCACACGACGAGAACACGGGCACCCTTGTTGTTCTCAGCCAAGTCCTTGGCGAGACGGAGCACCGTTCCACCGGCGAAGCAGCCTTGTTGGTACATCATGAAACGCTTAACGGAAGGACGGAGACCAAGGAGTTTGGTGAGTTGGTAGTCGGCACCGGGCATGTCAACACCAGAGGTTGTGCAGAAGATGAGGTGGGTGATCTTTGATTTCGGTTGTCCCCATTCTTTGATCGCCTTTGCTGCGGCTTCTTTGCCGAGCTTTGGAACCTCCACAACGACGATGTCCTGGCGAGCGTCGAGGGATGGAGCCATGTAGGCACACATGTTGGGATTTTCCTTCAAAATCTCTTCGTTTAGATGCATGTAGCGCTTCTTAATCATGGACTTGTCACCTGTAAATAAAAATGAGCGAAATCACAATCATTTTCAACCAAAGAAAGTCAGAAACTTTCCCCATTCACGTGAAATATGGTAATTAAAAGTAAAAACACTCCAAGAAAGAAGAAGAAGAAGAAGAAGAAGTTGACACGTACACATGCGCTGGAACTTCTCTTTGAGCTCTGTCATGTGCTCGCTCTTAGTAATACGGAAGTAAAAGTCAGGATAGTCAGCCTGGTTGACACAGTTGGCCGGCGTGGCGGTGCCAATAGCGAGGATGGTGGCCGGCCCCTTAGCCCTTTGGGCATTCCTAATCTCCTCGACGGATACGGATGCCATTTGTGAGAAGGTTTAGTTAAGAGAGTGAAAACTAAATTTGGAAGAAGTAAGTGGTAGCAGGTTTGTGAGAGAGGTGATGGCCGATGGGTGAGATGGGGGAAGAGAGAGGAGGGGTTTTATACAAGGGGGAAAGCGGGTAGGTTAAATCAACGGGCAGCTGGTGACCACGTGGTGATACGGTTAGGCTGCTGAAAGCAGTGGTGGTTGAGTTGCCACATGATGTATTTCTTCAAGCATTTTGTCTTCACAAAAATATCGGAAACTATAACCTATTTTCAAAGGGGAAGAATGAAGACTTGAGATTAGATTGAATTTGATCATTTGTATAACAATTCAACGATAATAACATCTATATCTCATAATATATATATATATATATATATAACAACTTAAGTAAAATTAACTTATAAATGACTTCTCTTAGCTATAATATAAAATTCATCCGTCTTATTCCGATTAAACAAATTTGATATATCTATTGTTCGCAATGAAGACAAAGATGATTAATCATAATTCATTAAATTTATATAAGTATAATATTATTTAATGTGAGGGAGATTGACTCTTGAAAGTTGAAACCAGGTAGCTCTTGTCACATCATAATATTAGAAACTATATAGAGTAAACTACATGTTCCCACCCAAGGTTTGACGAAATCTCAAGTTGGTACGCCAAGTTTCATTTATTCCATATTCCTACCTCTAAAATAACACTGTTAACATTTTTTGGGGTAGTGAGGCTGCAATTACCACAATGCCCTTAACCCTAAATTAATAAATTATATTTTAGCCCCTAAATTACTAAAATTATAAAATTAATCATCTTGTTTTGAAATTACTTCAATTACACCCTCAGTGACTATGCACCGTCTCGATTTTCACCGGATCTGGGCTGTTTCCAATGACGGCGAAGCCCTTAGTCACCTCCATCAGCTTCCCCATCGTCTGTCGTCCAAAACCCCTCTGATTCCCGACTCATTGACCCCTCCAATCGACGACACTGTCAGGGTTAGGTTTTCGTCATTCTTCGCCGGATTCCGACGATGAAAATCTAATTCGATGTCACCACTACAACCAGCATCTTCTAATCTACAAAACCCCTATGTCCCAGCAACCGTTTAGTGGTCATTCACCGGTGGAGATCAACGAAAACCAGCCGCATGTGGCGACTGTCGTGGCTGGCGATCGGCGAGTGATAAGGGGTTGTCAAGGGTACGGTTTTGTAGAGGGGAGGATGAGGTTTCGAATGGTGGTGACAAGGGTGATTTTGGGTGGAAGAATCGCCGGAAAAGGGCGAAAAACATCGACGGTGAGGTTGGCTAACATGCGCCAGAACTTTATCAGGGGCTGCGATCTGCTAATGTACGTCTCCTCTGTGAAATGACCAATTTACCCCTGAGCCATTATATCTAACCATTTTCCGTTACTTTAAGGGTGGGAATATGGAATAAATGGAACTTGGCCTACCAACTTAGGATTTCATCAAACCTTGGGTGGGAACATGTCGTTTACTTAACTATATATTATATACTTACTGTTATTTATTACCATGTTTAAGTAAATTAAAGGTTAAAGACAGAGAGTCGAGAGTAACATTACTATATACCGATGGATGTTTCTTGGATCCCTCGTATATTTAGTATTTATTATATTCAAGTAGAATGAAATAATTAATACACATATTATTGTAACAATAATACTATGCTTACTCACGATCTTACTAACCATCTTACTAACGTGTGTAAATATAAAGTATAGTACGGATACCATAAGCATAGTACGGATACTATATGTAATTTTAACAAATGTGAGTAAAGCGGTTAGTAAGTTCGTGAGTAAGCATAGCATTACTTTTATTATAATTTAATTAAGGGCAGAACGACTATTTCCCACCCTAGGTTTGCCGAATCCACCCTTTCCCACCCATCAAGTTTTAAAATGACACTTTCCCACCCACTGTTATTCTCTGTTAGTAAAATTCGTTATTATTTAATTATAAAGATGAAAATACTCTTTATTTTTTGATTTAATAATTTTTTATTTTTTTATGTCATACAACAGAGTCAATTACCAATGTACCCTCTCTTTAAATTTAAAAATTGTATATAAATTTTACTTAAATTCTATTAAAACATTATTTTTAATAAAAAGTTAGAGAGACAAATCGTAAATTTACATTCCCATTAACAATGACAAAACCCTGTAATTGACCAGTAATAAAAGTTTGTTGTGCGGGTATTAAAATATGTATTGAGAAAATTCAACAGAGAGAGAAGAAGCAGAAACATGACAAAACCAGATCAGTTTTTTTTTTTTTTTTGGCCCTTTTCTTTTGATTGGTTCCTGACTCTTCTTTCACTTCTTTACTACCTACACCAGACACTCTCTGGAACAACAACAGCATTTTATAGGATCAAATTTTATTTTTTCTAGTATTCGCATAGACCATAGTTCCCACTACCCAAAAACCTTAAACACAACATGGTTTCTCTAACATCTCTCTTTCATTCTCCAACCTTTAATTTCCTGCTGTTCATCATCTTCTTCTTCCACCAAATGTATTATGCCCAAATCATCTTCTTATTTAGGGGTAGGATAAATAATCCGAAAACCGAACCAAATCGAAAATTAGGTTTTTTTACAAACCGGTTCGGTTTGTAAAATTCAAAAAACCGGAAAACCAGTTCTGTTTTCAGTTTAAAAAAAATTTCAAACCGGTTTTACCCTAAATATAAAAGCAAAAAAATTATTATATATAAAATAATAAATATTTGAATTTAGGGACTTAAATAAAACATTGAAGAATTTTAAGGATTAAAGGATAATTTGAAAACCGGTTAACCGGTAACTGAACCAAAAATTCGGTTCGGTTTACATTCGGTTTTTAACCGAAACTGATCCGATTTTCGGTTTGGATAAACCGGTTCGGATTATCCCACCCTATTCTTATTCTCCTTCCTTCACCAAATGTATTCTGCCCACATCATCTTCTTCTTCTCTTTCCTCCATCAAACCCATTAAAATTTCCAATCTCTACTCATATTATTCAACTGAAATTCATATACAGATTTTTTTCAGGAACCCAAACAACACAACATAACATCCAGCAAACCCGTTGAAGTTTGTTTTATCTCTATTGAAATTTAACAATTAAAATTCAGATACAAATCCACACAACACAAAATTCAACATCCAACAAACGCAAAACATCAGTTTCAAGAAAAGAATCTTCAAATCCTCCAACCATTAAAAATCCACGATTGTTTATCAAAGGAAAATCCCGCGATTTTGCTGGTATTAATTAAGAAAGAATGATTAAAGTGATGTTAGTTGGTTGTTCAAAGAGAAGTAGCGATGCTCAATTAATTTGGAGTAAGGTTTTGAAGGCTCCGCACATATATATTTCCTAGCTACCTCCATATGGTCAATTTTCAGAACATTTTTTAAATATTATTGGTCAAGTCTCCAAGTTCGGTGGCTAATTAATAATTTAAAACAAATAGAGGTGGTTGGAACCTACCAAGTTTCACGTGTGTAACATCAACCTTTTGGGTAGGTACGTTACGTAATCGTAATCGTAATCGTAATTAGCTATTATCGCTATCATTCCTTCATTTTTTATTACCTTCTTATATCATTGTATTAGTAAATATAATATTATGTTCTAAATGAGTGAAAAAAATTTGAAGATTGCAGATATGCATGTTTTTAGTTAGCTTTGCCGTGTTTATCTAAACAACAAATTCACGACTCTTACATGAACATGAGAAAGTGTTTGTTTGGGAAGAAAGAAAATAAAGGGTTTCAAACGTAACTCAATTAACAGAAACCATGTCGTATATATAAACACAACATTCAGGCCTCAGTTAATTACACAAATTAATTATTTATTTGCGTACGAGCAAATGGGCATCTCAGCAGCTCATGTTCTTGCAATTCTGGTGCTAATTATAACTGCGGGAGCGGCGCAAATTAAGAGCCAAAATTCATTAGAGAAATGCCTAACCCACTGTGGGGAAGAAATTTTGAGTTGCGGAGGGAGCTGCCTCACCAGTAAATCGGCAGATGCTATGCAATGCATGGAGGGATGCGGTGCTGATAACTTTAAGTGCATGGAAGGTTGTGCCGGAGTAAAGTAAACAGTCCAGTTCCGCCGGCAGAGCTGTGTCGTATTAATTACTATTATGTAATCTTAAATAATATCCGATATGATCATATTGGCTTCTGGTGCAGGAGGCTTAAGCTTAAGATAAAGTGAATTTAGAAATACTAAGATGTGTCTAGTAAATGGAGGAATTAATAAATCTTTATAACATTTAAAAAGATCATATTCAATTAATGGTTTCAATAAATTGAGGTTTTTAATCTAAACAACATGATCAATTTCATTAACAATACTGACAGCACCCATGGTTTGAATAAATTAATGAGAAATAAGACACACCGTGTCAATTCTAACTGGAGTTGTTTACATTATAATTACAAAAATCAATACCCAAATCAGCTATTATTTTCCTCTTTCAAATCCAACGTTGTAAAATTTCCTAAAGCCTTTTTATTAATGTCATTGTATTGGAAAATCTTCTGTAGGGTGATGAACATAATAATATTATCAAAGCAAATCTTATTTTAGGTTACGCTTCCTCTGAATTTGTCTTATACAAGGTTCACCAATTAACATGATCTCTCAATACCAATTTTTGCCGGATTTGATCCATTATAGTTACAATTTTTACTTTTTATTTTAATTACTATCTTTTAAATGCAGTCTTGTTGGGCTGGAGCGGCTTCTAGTTCTAGACTAGACATAGAAATCAAATTCAAATGGGCTTTAGAAAAATAGCCTGCCATATTTACTACTGTGCCACAACCTAACGCAATCATTTAAAGTGTTTTAAGAAGGTGAAACCTAGCAAAGTGGCCGGGTCCGGTTTAACCGGTTTGAAATCTTGTAAAAACCCTCCAAATAACATCGTTGGCGTTGACAAACCAAAGCAAATAGGGCTTGTGATACGAACCCCATCAAGTTGTAACGACTCCCGTATCAAGATTGTTGCCTAAGACCGTTCTACACTCAAGTTCAAATAGAAACTGCGA